TATTATTTTAAAAATACAATACATGTCAAAGGATAAATAATTTTTGGAAAATTTTCAAATAAATGAATTTGAAAATAAGTTTTCTAAGTGAATGTTGCGCAATCACTAACTTCTAGTTTTGCAATCACACTTACGTAATGTGTTCATGAGGAAGTAGTTTATTGCATGGAAATACATGTATACATTGTACTAGTGGATGAATAACAATTAACAAGACACAAACACAGTGCTTGTGACGTTATTTCCAGGTGTCTGGTCTGCCAGAGAAGCGTGTTTTCGGAAAACTTTTGATGCATTCATACAACTTTCTGCATTAAAACAAAGCAAGCATTGCTCGCGAAAATTCTCTCGATGAAACAGAGACCAACTGAACACAAGCGAAGGAGAGAAAACTCTCGAAACCATTATACTAGCCTCCTAAAAACACACACACATACACTGATTACACTTCACCCCCACGTGACAGAATGAATTCTGTCTCAAGTGAAATAAATTAGTTATATATAATTACGTGCGCAATAATGAATTTTTTTTTTTTTTTTTTTATTTCTCTATTGAAAAATATCTCATTAAAAAGCCGAGACATTTTCCGAAAATTGTTCAATAACGGATATTCAAACCGCGAATTCACTACTAAATTGCCATTCATTCTAAAACGAGCAAAAGCCCCCACTAATAGTACTTTCGTCATCCAATTCAAAGCGAAGCTCAATATACCACAGCTAACCTAAATATACCCTCTAAATTGACAGAGTCTACCTGTTGCCAGTTTCGCAATTTATTTTATTGCTTTTTCAACCTGAGATAGAAAAAAAAAAACTTTCTACCTTTTTTTCGTACGCGTAAAATAAATAATAAAACTAGAAAAAGTGAAGTCTAAAACGTACTTTCACTACTGATTCAAAGAACATGTCTGACTAAAATTGATTTTACTACTGTGTCTTTTTCTCTAATTTAAGAATCAAAGAAAAAAACCACAATATAAAAAGTCTGAAAATCTGAAATCAGGGAAATAAAATGAAAACGATAAGCGAAATGTAAATGTATGTCAATTATTATTGTTATTGAAAATATGGAATAAAATTACTTTTCTCCCTCTCGACGAATTATTGACGACCAAACGACATATTGAGATAAAACTAACCAAGCGCCAGGAGAAAAAAAAGGATCAATGGAAGCAAATGACCCGAAAATACTCAGATATATATATGTATATAGTAAAAATTGTCGAATGACCTGGTTTTATACAAAATATATTTGACCTCCAGCAACCAAACGATGTACACTAGTGGAATTGTTCCGATCGTTAGAAATTTGATTTCACGCTCACCGAATTCAAAACATCGTCGGACGCACACGACAGCATAAACGTGAGGCACGGTATGGAAAATGGCCAGTGTTATGCAGCTATACTATAATGCCATATACTGCACACTGGTAGATACGATTTTGTGAGTACAGAATATAATGGACATAGATCAACGCTTGCAGTTGCACGATCCTCTAAGCTGGCAGATGTGTCGATGTTTTTAATATAAAGCACACAAAAAAGCCAAGACTCAATTATTTCAAAAGCATTCAAGTAAATTCCCTCTTTTTTTATATCATTGAAAAAATAAATTTATTTGGAGCAAATAATCTCTTGGCTATTAAATATTTATTTGGAGAAAATAATTTTTATTTATGAATCAAATAAAATGCTTAACTTACACTGAGAAAAAAAATTTAGTGTTTGCAACAAAATTGTTTGGTTAGACAATTTTGGTTCTTGTAACCAAATTTTGGTTGGCTGAAACAAAGTCGTAGGGTTATCTCAACCAAACATTTGGTTAGGTCAACAAAATTATTTCGTTGAACATTTTTAAATTCCAACCAAAATTTAGTTACAACAAAATCACAGAAAATTGAAAGGTATTAAAATAAGCTGCAACGCTTCTTATTTTAATCCATTTTTACTTATTTTAATACCAAAATGGATTAAAATAAGAAACAATTGATTAAAATAAGAAGTGTTGCAGCTTATTTTAATACCTTTTAGTTTTCTGTGATAATTTGGTTAACACAACAAAATAGTTTGGTCTAAAAAACCAAATGATCGTTTGTTGTCCTAACCAAAATTTGGTTGCGACAACCAAACATTTTTGGTATGCCAACAAAAAAACACTCAACCAAATTTTTTGGTTGACTCATACAAATAGTTTGGTTGCTTAAATACCAACAAAATTTTTTTGTTGGCCCAACTAAATTTTGGTTGCTCTGACTAAACATTTTTCTCAATGTAATTATTATTAATACAAATAAATATTCAGAGAATTATTTTCATTTATTTTCAAATTTATTTGAATCAAATAAAAATATAACTGTCTCAGAGCATAGTAAACTCTTTATTTGTTTCAAATAAAAAAAAAATTTAATTTAGCACAAATAACTTTTTATTTGTATCAAATAAAAAATTTAATTTAGCACAAATAAAATTTTATTTATATCAAATAAAATTTTTATTTTAGAAATAAAATTTATTTTAAACAAATATTTATTTGCCACTGAGATAAATAAATCATTACTCTCGGTGTATCTAAGATTTATTATCTAATATTTTTTAAATAAAATATTTATTATAAATAAAGATTAAAAATCATAAATCTAAATTTCCAATTCTCTTTTTTCAAACTGCAAATGTAACGAACTGAAATTTATGAACATCTTAACCGTGCAAAAAGAATGTTTAAATCGAGAAAATTTGATCAAAAGTGAAAAGTACATAAGGGCAATTTTCTGAATGCGACTAACAAATATAAAATTCGCGGGTAGAACGTTTCTTGTTTGCAGGACAGATTTGGATTGTAAAGTGGAGGAAGAAGTTTTTCCCAGCTTTCACTCTTGCATTTCTCCCTCATCCCCTCTCTTCATTCCCCCCTCCCCCTGCCCCCAACAACATTTCCTCTTTTAGACTGCATACCCCGTGTCTCGCAAAGTTTACATTTAAATTTACAATCTCTTGGTGCTACTCCTGCAAAGTGCTTTTGGTAAATTGATTTGCAGTATAACTCTCCTCCTCGCAGAATTCTAGACAAGCAGAAGAAGAAATAAGTTGATGGGAGAAGGAGGATGTTCGAGTTAAAGAAGAAGGGTGAAGGGTAAAGGAAATGTAAAATACGAGTTGATCTGTCGTGGTAAGCGATTTCTACTTGACTGCATCATCTCACAGATATTTTCACCTTTTCTAACTTCATATTCTCGAGCTCTATATACTTATATATACAAATACGCCAAGTTGATGATAAAATTCAATATCTTTCCAATATTAAAGAGATAAATTTTTATTTTTAAACAAACTAGTATTAAAAGATTATTTTCTTTTTCAATAAAACATTTTGTTTATTAAAAAAATATTTCTTAAAAATAACTTTTATTATTTCTATTGATTTTTATTAAAAAAAAAAAAAAAATATTCTAATATTTTAAATTTAATTTACTTTCTATTTTACTCGATAATAAATTCTATTTTATAAATGCATATTTCAAAATGTAAAACACGCCACCAATGATGTCTCACACTAAGAAACGTTCTACACACTTTGAAATTCGAGATCACGATTATAGGACCAAGAACAAGGCGGGCCAAATTGCATCCGAGTTCGTATAAGTAACTCTCGAGTTGTGTGAGATGCTAATAAATTTGGTTGCCTTCGTTAACCGACATTTCAGCATATATATTTAACCGCAAAAAGTCTACATTTTTAAAGATAAATAAAACTCAAAAATTTCCACTAATTTTTACAAAAATATTAAAATGTATTATTCTATTTATTAGTTTGTTTATTATTTTATGTTCTTTTTTTTATTAATTATTTTACTTTTACGAAAGATTTATTAATTAGAGAGATTGAAATTTCATAAATAAATGAAAACAATATCAAAGTCGATTTTAGTCGGTAAACATGAGCCGTGAGTAATTAATTTGCCTGAAAATTAGTAGGTCACGTGGTCTTTGTTTACACTATAAAGCGCTTTAATTAGGAAAATAATCTGTGGTCTTTCTGTCTATCCTTTTTTGAGTAGAAATAACTCTTGACTCCATACTCCCTCCAATATACATATATATTCAAAAACCTCGTCAAGGAGAATTTTAATAGCAACAAAGTAATTTCTATGAAGGTAATATTAAATAAATTATTTTTTCACATTATTTGAAAAATCGAAAAAAAAATTTCATCAAAAAATCTAAATATAATATATATATAATTCTTTTATTTCACAAGAAAAATTCCGTTTATTTTATCAACTTTGGATATATTTAAGTGCGAATATATCACTTCTTTTAATAAAAATTTTCCCCCTTAAAATTCTATGAATAGAGAACATTCATTGGGGGGGGGGAATGGATCTCGTTTTTCGCTACTTTAATTAAAAAGTGTTCCCTTTAGAAAAAAAAGTGCGATAAAAATGTTTTCTAAGCTCGACCGTCATATAAGATTACTTCAATTAATTTTCAATTGGCTCGTTAACATTATCAAACATTTTTTTTTTTTTTTTTTTTTTGTATGATGAACTCGTTTCAATTATTATTTCCTATAGGGAGTATCACACTCTAAATCAACTTTAAAACTCAATTATCTAATATTAAAGTTTGGTGCGATAATATTGGTCTTTTATTAATAAAGTTTAAAATCCAATTAAGAAAGTAAACCTGAATTATCAGGATATTGTTCCTCTTAAATAATTTTTTTTTTTTTTTTTAATATTCAATTACTTTTTTTTTCATCTAGAATTAATATTATAAGATGATTAGAAGGAATGTTATTTTGATGACGACAACGATCAAACAATGTTACGTTGTAGATATTGAATTAGGGGTACAACCTTCCTGCCACTGCGGAGAAAAGTAGTCTACTATATATAGAAGATTACCAAAACTAATTAGTCGGACGTTTCGAGTAGAGAAACGCTTGTGCGCACCTAATAGATGGTTACCAAGGTACTTGGTCTTTTTGTTGCAGGTGCGAGGGTGGTTGGCTTCAACTTCAGGGAGGAGCTCGAGTTTGCGGTCTCAATGAACGATTCGACCCACCAATTGTTCTATTTTCTGACAAGCCAGCAGCAATTTTACATATGCAGTGAGTAAAAAAAAAAAAAAAAAAAAAAAAGACAAAATTCCTTTCTTCTTTTTTTCATAGATTTTTTCCCCTTTAATTCTAACTATTATAAATTATTCTCTTAAGAGTTTCAACAATTTTTAACATAGCCTGGTAAATGAAATTCCAAAACTTTTAAACGAACTATTAAAAAGAATTTGGAACGTCTGACTAAAAATACCTTACTACTGAGACCAAAACTAAAAATTCCGAATGTTTTTTTAATTACAATAATTAAAAAATTGACAAAAACTTACAGTATTTTGAAGCTCTCCTTGTACGATGAACACTGGCATCAAATTTTGATCGTTCGCATCTGAAACATAAAAAATTTAAATTAAAAACATGCTATTTATTTCAAAAAATAAGACTGCAAATTTTATTATATTATAATAAAAAGTCTAAAATTTATTGCCATTAAAATTTTTTAAAATTCTGTCTGACTAAAGTTGCATTTCACCACTGAATATTAAAGCCTTATATATCCTATTACGTATGTACAAAACTTTTTGATAATAATATATTTACCCTATATTTATTATTCTAAAGAGATTTATGTAAATTCTTGATACTCAATGTATATATTTGAAATTTGTCGAATATTCCCGAAATAAGCGACGGAGCCTCAGACTGCAATGCGCAGTCAAAATCGTGAAACAAATTAGAATAATTGATTGACACATACTGTTTTCGTACAGCAAGCAAGAAACTTACGAGAAAAAAAATAAACTATATTCAAGTAGTCAACATTTATTTTGGCCTCTATAAAACTACCTCAATCTTGTTTCTTTAAATCGAATGCTAGTTTAAAATTCATGTTCGTTCACTCTCTCTCAGATACGGGATTAAAATGAATACGAAATTCACTAGAATAAATTACTAGAAAAAAACGGATTTTATTTATTAGAACAAATACAAACTCGTTTCCATTCAGTTATATAAATATTTTTTAAACCCTATTTATTAAATCACGATAGGATTTAAAAATATATATATATTCGAGAATAAAATATTTTTTTCAAACAAATAATTCAGTGATATTTTTTGTTTTTTGCTCCGGGACTTGTCAGGTGACAGAATAGAAAGATGAGGTCGACTGAACGATGAAATTTATATAACTTGAAAAGTTGAGTGTAACGTGGCAAAGCGGCGGTGCGCGACTGGCATAAATGTGTCAGAAAATGATATACGATCTTTAGCCTTCTCTCACATACAAAAGCCCATGGAATCCTTGTCTTCAATAAAAGATACTGGAAAATCTGGACGATAAAGGGAGTCACGAGCTCTCCTACCGCAAATTGAAATTCTCCACTACTGCGGGGCGACATAGAAAAATGAAAAACGGTGGAAAATTGAGAATACGCGAATGCTGTGACTGCATCTTCCTTTCCTATATAAGAAGATAAGAGTTGCCTTTCCTTCTGCCAAAAATTTTCAAATAGTACATGAGATTGCCAAAAAAATCCCCTCCCCTCCCCCTAAAGATGTAGATTTTTATATATATGTATATTTGAATCTGACCCAAAAATAATGATCTATGGAAAAATTTTTTTTTTTCGAAAATAAATGAGTATTAAAAAAATAATTTTTTTTGTCATCAAAAAAAAAAGTGGATATAATATAGAGATGATATAAGAGCTCATATTTTTTACAATGAGAGAACTTTTACTGCGCATATAATTAACGTTTTATGGGGCTAATGTGGAGGGTAACATTTCTTTTCTGGACTTTTAAAATTTTCACGATAAGATGTGATCTAGTTTGTGAGTATATAACTTATACTCTCTCTCTCTCTCATTCTTTTAGAAAAAAAAAAAAAGCAGAGCAGGGTTACTGGGTAGTTAACGAGGCAAATATCGATTTCTTCATCCACTTGATTCCGCACCATTGGCAGCTACAGCGTGCATAAAGAGAAAAGTTCACCACCATGCGAGAAAAGAAAATCACGAATCTCTATTTATGAGGACATTAAATTTTTTTCTTATGAAAGAAAATGTCACATAAAGCAAGATAAATATTATTATAAATCTAAACTAGTATACCTATATTTATAGATTAATCTTGAGAAAATATGAAACTTATTACTTTTACATATATATACATTAAATATAAATTTCTTCTTTAAGAAATATCAAATACAAATAAAAATAATGAAAAAAATAATTATTATTATTATTTCTGAAACAATCACAAGAAAAATCATATAGATATAAATATTTGACGTTAGATTGACGACATAAGAGCGAGACAATTTCCCTCTCAAGCTATTGAGATAAAGTTTTGAAAGCCGATGAAAGTTACGCTCTTCTGGAAATGACGGAAAACGTTGGGATGATTGCTTTACAATGACTTGATAATTTACTCGCTTTCTCAAACACTTTACGAGTTTCAATCTCGCAATGCATTTCCTTGGCTGGCTCTCTACAATAGATAAATTAAAGGAAAATAGCTGTGGAAATTGGCAGCACTCCATTTTGGCAAGAATTGTGTCATCCCGACAATATACCGATACTGAATTAGTACGGAAGCACATGAAAGAATTTAAAATTGAAGATAGAGTACAGAGGAATCACTTTGCAAGCGGAAGTAACGCTAGAGGCATTACACGATATATATATATAAAGAATACATTGAATTCTATTAAAATCAGAATAATAATTTCATTTCTAAAATATCTATTTTCCATTATGAGTATAATAATAGTTAATTATAGTCCGGAAATAATATATATTAGAATAGTCAAATATCGTTTAATTATTGTTTATACCATTGAATAAACATATTATTTAATCAATGTATGATTCAAATTGACTTTGCTATATATATATATATATATAGAAAATTAAATTAGCATATATTGAAATTAATTTGTTATTCATATCTATACAGATATCATAGTTATCAAAGTCATAAAGGTTCATCTTGGTGGAGTAAATTACCAAACCAGATAAAGTACAACGTGTGTGGTATAACCGCGAATTTGGTTTGACAACTATATATGTATATATAAGCTTCAAGCATGCTGATTGAATGGATGCGGGTCGTGCCGACTCTGCATCTCTCGATTCTCAATTCTCTTCCCGCGGTGGAGTTAAAAGCAGGGGACCATAAGGGAACGAGGGGGGGGGGGAGAGGGGGTGAGTTCATCCTCTATATACTCTTATGAAATCTGATTGAATTTTGAAATACGGCAAACAGAGATAAATTGACGCTGATCTACTCGAGTGCAACGATAAAACTCACTATCCCATTTCGTCTATTAATCTTTTTCTCATATTTGAGAAACTCTCAAAAATGGGGTCATATCCACGGGAATTTCATTTCCCTGGGAAATATAAATTTTTTTACGAGCTTATTTTTCAAACAAACCAATTCAAATATTATCAAAATTGAAAACAAAAATTCTCAAATTATTTTATTTATTGTGCGTATGAGAATGCGAACACAAAAAAAAATAAAAGAGGAATCATTTGAAAAGAATGAGAAGTAGAAAAGAAGTATTTACTGAACTTTGATAGGAGAGAAATTGAAAGATGCTGGGTGTTTGAGAAAGAGAGAAAATGGTTCAACGTGAGAAGGAAGGCCTGAGGTAAAAAGCAAAAAAAAAAAAAAAAAAAAAAAAGCAGAAAGAGAAAGAAAAAGCCGGGGGAGAAAAAAAAAGAAGAGAAAAAGATTAGAACTCTCTGGCAATCTGTCTTGTCTATGGCATACAGGGCCCCTCGGAGATGCGGAGATACATTTTTCGAGATAATTTGCCGACGTAACCCCCTAAGGATAACCATGGAGGAAGACCGTCTGGATAGGATTCGGTCGAATGAAATCGATTTGACGTTTTATGTCTCCATATAAGAACTAAAGTAAACTTATCAAGAATTTTCTTTTTGCAAAAAAATAATTTAAATTTTCCATTTAGTTTAGAAAAATATTATATTAATATTACCAACAAAAATTTGTAGCACAAAATTCTAAATATTTGTACTAACTAAAATAACAGAGAGAAAACAACAATGGCTAGAGTTATTTCTAAAGGGACAAGTGTAACATATCTTTGCTTAATTAGTTAGTATCTCAAACCACAAATAGTAAGTGGTTATATTACGAAAAGCGAGGAACGCTGTAGTTTGACTCTTCATCTCGAAAATTACTCAGCTGTTCGAGAATAGCTTCCCAACTTGAACTCTGTATAATCGCACAAAGGTCGATATGAAGTACATATTACATAATTTTACATATACAGTAAACACTAACGACACACATTATAGTAGCATCATTAAACTAACCTTGCCACCATATTAATGTGTATAATTTGAATAAAAATTTTCTTTCTCTCTTATATGTACCTCTCCAATTATATAAAAACTATTTTTCGAAAACCCAGACAACCAATTTTTTAATATACAGAAACTATATGATTTTAAAATCACTGAAAAAATTTTAATTTATTCCAAAAAAAAAATCTCTTTGCTAAAAAATTACTAAATTGTAATTTAATGAATTATATAAACAAAACAAATGAAACGTTATTCCTTATTTAATATTCTCTTTCCATCAAACTCCAATCAGTAAGGAATTATGCCCAGCCGACTGAGTCTACTTCATCATGTTTCTAGTTCTGTTCTTGTCGTTGACTCAACGGATATTTGATTTGGGTTCAAATCGCAAGTTTGGTACTGATGCGAACTAATAAGATCAAATAAGCAGACGATATTGGTATTTGTCTATCCTCTGGGCAAACTGACCTAGCAAATATCAGAGATCAAAATGAACATAGTATACCTGGACAGCGTATATCATTCATAAACGTCAGAATATCTGTGTGTATATGCGAAATGTATATCTCACATCGCTATTATTGTAATTTAGAAACATTTACAGATATTACAATAATTGTCTACCAATATAACAGACAATTCGAGAAATTCAATTTTTAAATATAAAAATAAAAAAATATATTATATTTTAAATGGAAAATTGAATTATTCATTTAATGAGAAAAAAAAAACTAAAAGTAGAAAAGTTTTTATATATTTTCTCAAGTATATAAGTTCACTAGTTTTAGAGGTAAGTAAACTTCGATTACTGGTCTGCATTTCCGTAACGAGAGAGAGAGAAAGAAGAGAAAGAGAGAGAAAAAGAGAATAAGATGGTTTTTATTTCTAATAAGATCAAACAGACGAAATAGAGGCAAAGTCACGAAGTCCATTTCATTAACTCCAGGAAGAGCCATTTATCCGGTAATGGCTCACATCCCCCAGATGTACGTCTTATAACTACATAACGTTGGAGAAGGTCGCCAGATATCCTATAGGTGCAATATAATAGCACCCCAGCTTTGTGACCGGATGAAGGGCAAACCTACCCAGATTATTTCATTAACTTCGAGGATCATATCATCATTCTATGCTTTCTGCTGACTAAAGCTCGATGAGATAATGTTTAATCTACTTCACGACTCTTCATACAATCAATATTTTATTTTCACTTATAATAAAATCTTTAATTGATTGTATTCTTTAAAAAAAAAAATTGCAGAAAAAAATGTGTCTAATAAAAATCGATACAGAATAATTTTTAAGTAGTAAAAGTCAGTGCTCGGCCAGACAATCTTTTCAACTGTTTTCACTGAGACATGATTTTCAGTAGTACAATTATTTTTAGTCAGACCACTAATAAAGAAAGATTTAGTATCATTTTCAGTAGTAAATGTTTTAATTCAGTCAGACGTAAAAAGTATAAATAACTACAAGAAAAAAAATTATTTGATTTAAATACTCGATTATTTGACTATTATAAAATAAATATTTATTTGTATCAAATAAATTTTTTTCCCACTTATGGAATAAAAATATATAATATTTTGTACTTAATATAAATTTCCTATTTTTTCATATAACCAAAATGATGAAACAAAACGTTTTTATCTAGAGAACATTTGGAGAATTAAGTAGGATGATGAGTCTCTACTTTTATTCTAATCCATTGCAATCAGTTTCAAAAGCATTAATATTCCTTCTCCTAATGGTGAACGTCACGATAAAGCGCAACGCAGTTCAAGAAGCTCATTGATATTCCGAGGGCAAAGCCCTCCGACCTCTCCAGTCAATGCATATAACGTAATTAAGACATTGAATGTCCTGAGATAACGTTTTCCGACTATCTCCGATTTTCATCCTGCTTTCTCCCTTATTCTCACTATACTTATATATATACAATTCTCTGTTTTCAAATTTCTGTCTGCTTCTTTATGATAATTTAACAAAGACATTAACAGACAGATAATTGCCGGCAAAAATCATCTCACAATTATCGCAACAATAAAATGGAAAATAATTTTCTATTTCATAATAATAAAATAATTTAATATAAATATAAAACAGTATAATTTTGAAAATATAAAATTTCGTAAATTTTATCTAAATGTTTTAGTGTATCTATTTTCACAAATTGTAGAATATCATGCAATGCAATATTCGATAATTTTACTCATTAGAGGAAAATTAACATATTTTATAAGCATTATCTCTAGTGATAATATTACTAATAGAGGATATTAAACGGGTTTTCAATATTTGCTTTATTTATTTCTCGAGGGAACCACGGATTCAGAATTTATTATAAAATAGAAAATTTTCTCTGCAATAATTAAAACATTAATAATAAATAATAAAATACAGTAAAAAAAATCACATATTACATTTATAAAAAATTTAGCTTTAAAAAAAAATTTTCAAATAACTTCAAAATATAGAACAAAATTTACACTAATCTTTAAAATGATAAATTAAAAAAATTTAATTCTATATAAGAGATTAAATTTAAAAGTTCTAATGGAAAATATAATTTTTAAATATTTATTTTCAAACGGGTTTAAAATTTAATTTTAAATAAGGGTGGAGAAAAAACTTAATTTTCATGAGAATAGTAGTAAAACAGATAGTAGAAGCCTGAAAGTCATTAATATGTCAAACCTTAAACAATTAGCTGGTAAACGATATTAAATCCTTCGTTGGCAAAACTTTCTTGCGCATAACGAACCTTGAAATTATTTTCTTTTGCAAGTGTATCAAAAACTTTTTCATTTTTTTTTTTTTCTTAATTTCACAAGCGAGTTGTGCATTAATTAAATTAAAAACTTTTTCTCAAGTATCAAATTCGTTTTTTTTTCACCTTCATTTTTTTTTTATCCTAACTGGGGAAAATAAAACGCGTCTGCTTCCTGCCAATAGTAATATTTTCACGTATTTAACAAGTTAATTACTTCCCTTCATTGTTTTTATAATTGGTGAACGATTTCTAAAAAAAAAAAATTTCTATTCTGTGCGTTAATTTTTTTTAATTCTGATATCGAAAAAACCTTTATCTTTTTTTAATTTGAAAAAAATAATTTATTTTGTGTGTGTAATAAACAACATCAAGTAATCAAATTTATGTAACTAACAGAGTAGGATATAGATGGAAGAAGATTTATTATGAGATAATACAATTAAGAGAGAAGTTACGAGTACCTCGAGTAACCTTTGCCGGTCTTGTTTGTGTCTAGTGCTAACCTCACCTAACTAAATAACTGAATTAGTATTTCCTTCTACTCTATACTATAAAAACAAATTCTTTTCAAGCTAAATTTTTATCAAGAGGATTAAAAAAAAATCTCTTTTTAATAAGAGAATTAAGAAGAAAACAATTTGCCTTTTATCAAATGCAATTTAGAAATTTTCAGTAAAGTTTCATGTAATTACTTTTTATGAGAATTCGAATTCATTCTGTACTAAATAATATGGAGGAAGTTACGAACAAGCCGTTTAATTGAAAAGTTGTTGGATTTTCGAGAAATTTTAAACAATCAACAGAGTTTTAATGGATTTACAGACGAAAAAAAAAATAAATAATTGCATTTTCAAATACAAAACAAATTTTCGAAAAAAAAAATGGATTTTAATGGTAGCTTTCGTTATACTTCTGAAATTACATATTTTTTGTCAACAATTTTAATTTTTCACCGAATATATTTCTACCTAAATAAATATTTTTAAATAAATTTAACTTGTTCTAATTTCAGAATTAACGAAAACACATCAAGATCACAATTTTTGGCATACTTCAGTTTTGCCTCTAATGCCAGTACATCCGTGGGATATCCAGTACGAGGAGGAAATCCCGTAAATAACACAGGTAAGAAAAAAAAAAAAAAAACAATATTTGAACAAAAAAATTTAAGTAACGTTAATTTAAATTTAAAATTTCAATTTTCCCCTAAAAAATTCTAATTTTAATGAACCATAATTTTATATTACCAAATTTTCATAGTTGACAAATTTTTGAATTAAAATATATGTGCACGACGTTTAAACTTGCTGGCAAATGCAAATTAACGGAAAATAGAATGGTTCACATTGCCAAGGCGCATAAAGGTGGTAAATTGTCAGAGCGCAGATCTTTCACGTTCCCTTATTCGGTTAAGTCTGGACAGTCCTGTGCTTAAGCTTGTATAATTTTGTTCTAACTGCCGAGAAATTACGTTGTACTCGGCTGCTTTAATAAGGAAATTTCGTCCCAGATATATTTACAAAAATGAGTCAAGAATACTTTTCAAAAAATAAAATTTTGCAAAATAAAAAAAAAAATACCAATTTACCGAATGTAAAATAAATAAAATGTTTTTCCCCTCGAAAAAAATAAAATAAATAAAATTCTACATTTTTGCAATCAAGAGCCGTTCTTTTAATCACGAAAGAATTCGATATACATTTATTCATAAAATATATCACTTCATTTATTCACAAAGAGACCCACACGTAAAATATATACTCAGTCCCTTTTGGTTTATGATAAACCATAAATATTATATAGAAAACAGATTATCAAAAAGAAAATTTTATTTAAAAAAAATTTTCATTAAAAATGCATTAGTAAATTTTGAACTATATCTATACACAAGTCTTGAAATTGGATAAACTGAAAAGTAAAATTATACACTTGTTTTTTCCCCTCCCCCTTTTTAAAATGATGAAAATTCGTAAAAGTTTATTCCTCATTCAAACTTATTAGCATTTAACTTGCAGACATTAATTTTAAATTTATTTTTCGTAAAACTTTTGCAAAAGAAAATCCAGAAATAAGAGAGAGAGAGAGAGAAAGAGAGTGATAGGAAAAAATTGAGAGAACTGACAAACTGATCAATCTGCTAGGGCTTTGAAATCTACTTTTTTTTTTCTTCATATATATATATATTTCTTCTTTTCTTATCCGTGGTCGTATATATATCCGCATAATTTCAATATACCCTCTCGCGCATTTCGTTTCCATTCTAAGTACTTTCTCCAAGTTTATTATAACTTTTCATACATTTATTCTTTTTTCTTCATCGACTTTCTCCCAAGAAAAACCATTGTAAACTAAAGATCACAATATTATAGTGGTTTCCTCTTTTTTTTATATATATTTTATACTTGTATTATTTTCAATAATTAAGACTCAAGTGAGAAAAGTTTCCTTCAGAGAAAAAAAAAAAATAAAAAAAAATTCATTTCTCGTAAAAAAAAACATTGTTCTCATAACTTTATGCTACATAAAATGTTTTACCGTTGCAAATAAAAGTCCTCGTTTATCAATGGCAATTTTCATTTATAACACTAAAAATATTTTACGTAATGTCATAATAAATTATGTGTCTAAAATGCGCACGTTTAACTATTGTAAAAAAAAAAATAATTGAAAACACGAAATTTAATTTTTTTTATAGTGTACAATTTTAGTGAAATTATATTTATTTTGTCATTATAAAACGAAAGTAAAACTTTTTTTTTATTTTCATGTTTTGTTTTTTTTTTATTATTTTTTCTCCCTTGTTTTATTTTATTTATTCAAAAATAAAATATATTTTTTTTAAAATGGCATTTTTCTGCTGATATTTTATATTCAAGAAAACGAAGGAATTTATATCAAGGTGGAAAAAGGGTTTTTATATATCTATTTATAGTACCTATATAGTATATATATATAGATATATAGACCTATAGTTTTCTCCTCGAGGGAAAAGCTCTTGTTTTTTATGTGCCTCTATACCGTACTGGTCAGCCGATATCATGAATTCTCAACTTGAATCTCCTCGAACCTCTTTAAACTATCTCGAAAGCGTCGAATAAATGCACCGCGACACCCACACATTCACAAACGAAGGTAAATGCTCGCACTTTTTTCACTTGACTGATCACGTCTGCTTCTCTCTTTTTCTCTAATCTACGAGATTCCCTTCACGAACGACCTGTTCGATTTTACTCACCCTTTTGCACCATTCAATTAGAATTCTAAACTTACAACGAACATTACTTTGGAAAATAAAAAAATAGATTCAAGTTTTATTATAAGAAAAAAATTCCACCAAAGGAAAAATAATAAATTATTGAATTAAAAATTTATTTTTTCTACCCTTTTTCCAAAAATTCGTAATTGCCAGACCAAAAATACTTAAAAAAAATCACTTTTAGATAAAAAAAAAAAGCCCTTAATGCTTTTAAAATCGAGGTGAACTGTAGAAAATAAAGGTTGATGATAAAAACCTCCCTCTCTCTCTCTAAAAGTATTACTTTCGCTCTAAAAACTACAAGCTTTGTCGATTAGGAAAAAGAAATGGAATTCCAAGGATTCAAAGTACATTACATAAATTCGGAGAGAGTTGAGGTTTATTTTTTTTCCCCCTTTTTTTTTGCGTTATTTCTGTGTGTGGCTAATGGGTTGGCCCATTATGACAATTGTGGAATTGTAAGTCTAAACGAAGACCAGAAGGAAAAGGTCATCCACAAGTTTCATGCGGAGAAAAGAAGAAAAAGAAGGAGAAGAAGAAGAAGAAGACTCAAACCAACTCTTTAACTCTTTATCTGTGAGAAAGAAAATTATACCCATGGTATCTACGTCTTCTCTGTTTACGAGAGTCGAATATATAAAGGTTGAATAAAAAGGATAAGGTTTGAAAATGGAAAATCGATTCGCGCGAGTGAATGTAATTTACATTCTGTACGAAAAGGAACCAATAAACTTCACAAATCACGAATCCCAAGGAATTGAGAAACTTTCATTGTAATATAAATTTGTCTCACGTGAAAATTTAAACGTCGATAGAGTCGATATATCATATAAAAGATTATTTACATTAAATATATTCAATATTTTTTATAAATTCATTGTCTTTCAAATAAATTTTATTAAAAATTTATTTCAATTCAAAAATACTAGGTTTTTTTTCTGACCTTTTGTGAATTTTCACATTTTTTAGTAGCTGTAAAAAGACAATGGAAATTTTCTATTCAATCTATAAACCGATTTATCTTCTGTTTAGTGGAAGTTTTTTTTTGTTCAAGTTTATATGATCAAATTTTTTTTTGTGTTTTGTTTGTGAACAGAATGTGACTGGGTTTACGAGGATATGGAATGTCCGAGAGATTGCATTTTGGCGAGCCCGGGATATCCTGGTGTATATGCACCCAACATGCGTTGCCGATACCTCATCACTTCCAGTCGACAGGTTTCCATCGCCATTAACTTTACTGCTGTCTTAATGCCGCATAAGTAAGTACTATCACTTAGTTAAAGTAGCTTTTAGCCGCATATATAAAACTATTTCCTATCTATTTAAATGAATTTAAAGAGATCGTAATTTATGTCGAAAATTTCACCCCCACACACACAATTAAAATCCAATTCATTTTCATTAAATCTGTATTGTTCCTAATTTCTAAAATACGCTATTACAGGCAATTTTCCATTATTAATTTCACGTTTAATGAAATTATAACCATCTTTCGAAAATCAAAGGTAAATGATTTTACATTGAAGAATGAAAAGGAATTTTAATATTTTCTAATTTAGAAATGAGAAAAATATTAGAAAAGAGGATTTTAGGGAAAAAAAAATTTAATTTATAGGAAAGAAGACGAAGGAATCGATTTACCAACGTAAATACCGATAAAATCTACACTTAACTTTATTTTCTCCCGAGGAAGTAACTTTAATGCGACGTATTCTTTTATAGTGAGAAACGAAAAATTCATTAAGAGTAATGAAACGTTGCAGAAGAAAAAAAAAGAAAGTAAAAATAGACAAGCTCATTTGCATTACGAGAGAGGAAAATATATTTTGCGAAAAAGAACTTTTTTTTTACTAGATTCTAATTTGCAATCTCAGTATACTTTAAAAATTCTTTTTATATAATATTTTTTTTTTCTAATTTTCACTTTTTTATTATATTGTCATAATTTTCTTCTTTCTTAATAATAATAATTCCTCGCTTTTTATTATATTTTCTTAATTTTCATTAAATTCTCCTTCCTGAATTTCTTTCTTTATATTTTTTTATAGAATATTAAATTCCGCAAAAGAGAAACACTAATTGAAATACTCTTTTTATAATTACGGTAAAAAAATGTACTTTTCATCCAGTAGGTAATCAAAATTCAATCTAAAATTTAAAAAAAAAATACAAACGGAAAAAAAACTTTTAACCAGAAACCTTTACATTCGACTACATTACGAGAAATATTGAATTTAAAAGAAATAAATCAACATGTGCCAACAGGATAGAAAACGAAGAAATACCAATCTCAGATTCTATTATCGTGTATCAGGAATTACTCTTACCCTATATATCTTTTGAGGCGTGAAGCCCCTTTTAAGCCTTCCAATTCTATCTCATTCTCGGCCAAAGTTTGCTCAATGTCAGTTTCCTCTTTTCAACTATTGCGCGCAAGGTTTTTCGCCACTCTAACTCGGTGAATTGCAATCGAACTGAAATACCCCAGAAATTCGCGAAATCTTCGCTAAGATATGCCAAGTCACGTGCCAAACCATTCCTTTACAAATCCAAAAATCCATTTCAGACCAACACCTCCCACGGAAATAACATTTTTTTTTTTTTCGACTTTAATCCAAAAAAACCATTTTAATTTGAAAAAAGCAAACTATTTTTAGAAAATTCACAAATTAAATACACAAAAAAATGTAAGGTATTAAAATAAGATGCAACGTTCTTATTTTAATTCAATTTTTTCATTAAATAAATTGCATTTTATTTTAATACATTTTTTTCTGTAGAGAAATAAAAAAATAATTTTTTTTTTTAAATTTATCACGACGTAAGTCTCATCATAAAATTCTATCTTAGTATGAGTGTGTGAAAAGAAGTTATTCAAGTTACTATAAAGAATTGGACGAGAATACAATTTTATTTTATATATATATAGAGCGAATGTAAGGACGTTTGTGTGTAGTTACGAATTCGCGTGAAAGAAAAGAGAAAAGCAAACATCTGCAATAGACGGTTTTCTGCACCCTGAAATGCTTTTTTCTAGGCTTTTTACACCTTCTGAAAGGTTATTTTCAACGGAACTTTAGCATCATGAGTACAACACTATTCCTACTTATTATCCACTCCCAGTTTTTTTTTTTTTTTTTTTTTTTTCAAACACCCTATTCGGATCCTACAATTTTTATAAAACTTTTTTTTTTACATTTTATATAAACTTTTATATGAGAATAACTTCTCTATATTGTATATATGCGAAACCTAAATCCTCTTTTTATTTCGAAAAAGAAAACTTTTCCCTAGTCAGTTAAAAGCATTTTATTTATTTTCAAATGTATAATAACAATAACGTAAAAAAAAATTTGATTGCAATTTTTATTATTTTTCTTTAAAAAAAAAAAACCTAATTTCGTTTAATTTACAAATGAAAAAAAATAGAAAAAAGTCAAACAAATAGAAAAAAAACCATTTTTCTTTTTTATGCGGAAAAAAAACAACTAATCCAATAAATGGGGATAAAAATATGGTTGAAATTTGCTTTCGAAAATTGAGAGTCCAACAACAACTATAGAAATTTTCCACATACAGTGGGTTTTGCATTCATTATAATTTATTCCGAACGTTTGAAAGTCAACTTTACAAAGTTGAAAGAAGAAAACGAAGACACAACTTGGCCTCATACATGCAAACGTTCAAATTATTCCAATTGCATCGTGGAAATTCCAAGGCTGCGATTCTTTTTATTCTCTCTCTCTCTCTCTCTTTTTTCTTGCATTCCTTTCTTCTTTCTCTCATTCTTTCCTCCTACATTTTTTTCATCTCATTCGGCGTTTTTTTCCCTCTTTTTTTTTTTTTTTTTTGCACTTCGACACACCTCCCACAAATGGGGTACGGGGGATTTTTCCCTGTTTTCTCCGTTCCAAACGATATCGCTTTACAAATAGAGATATCACTTCTTACTTGTGATTTCTCTATCACAATTTTTCAGTATTGTATTTCGAGGAACTTGTTATCGCACTCCGGAAATCTAGATATATAAATATTTTATCCAAAGTCCTTATTTTTTCAAAAAAATAGAAAATAATCCCAAAACATCGTTTTTATTTTTTACTAAAATTTTCTATGAAAAATTATCGCAATGAGAAATAATTTTTTAAATTATAAAATTTTAAAAAATCACAATTTAAAATCTCAAAGATGCAAAATTTTGTCAGAGAAGCAATATATACAGGAAATACCTGTAGGGCATAAATTAAATTCTGATTAATAATAAAATCGTCGAAATAGCGATGGAGAATTACGATATTGATCATAAGGATAAATAACATCGTCATCATCCCGAACGATACTTGTCGACTGGAATTTAATAAGAGCTCTGCATAAAGTAAGGAGAGAACGGGGGCAAGATTGCCGTTTATTCGCTTTGGGTTTCTCTCTACTATCGTACGCGTATTTTGAACCTACACTAGAATGTAAACATACGCGAAGAGAGAGAGAGAGCTTTTGTACCCATATCCTTGTCCTCCTTGTTCTCGACATGCTATTGGCTGTTACATAACGTGCCATCGGCTTTTCTTGTCAAACACCAAAAGCCTGTGAACCTTTACGGTATTACGTCGAGGATGCATTAAAGTAGACACTCTTCAAGGGCAGAAAACTTGAGCTCCAAACACGTTTGGATATAACAAAAGCTTTTCGCTTTGAAATGGTCATTGCTTTGAATTTTTTTTCCATTCATTTCCTATTTCTCTTTCTTTATTTCATTCTTTATTTCCTTCTTTATATATGCACCTAATACAGTACAAATATAAATTGTAAATCCCACAGTGTTTCTTTCCTGCAAATACTTTCTTTTTTAATTAAAAAAAAAAGAAGAGCAAACAGATCGTTCAAAGCAAGAACGAATGCTTTTAAAGATTTCAGAAAATAATCTCTCCTCTTTGAATATACTGCAAACAGTCTTTTTACTCAAGGATAATATTATATATTTATAGTCCTTTAATGGGAGCGCATAAAAATTCCACAAATGCTCTTTGACACAATTTCTATATTTGAAAGCGGAAATACAAGAAACAAATTGTAATCAAATAACTCAAACTTTTATATTCAACCAAATTTCCACTAGTCATTTAAACCAAATTATTTTTAAATTATTTTGTTAAAAAAAATTTCTCTAAATTGTAATTTCTTTCTATATATTTATTATTCGCCTATTCGTGTTGTTTAAAAAGTTGTTCCTAAAGAAATTAGTAATATAATCAGAGAATAATGTATACCTTGACAACGGTACTTGAAGAATATCCTACACAAACACCTAACTCCTTCTGAACAAACCAAAACTTTGGACATGATCGTTAAGTGTTGTACTGTTTTGGGAGACATAAATAGAGGTGAAAATATATTTCATGTCCTGTCTGCTTTATTATTAGTTCCTCCACCGCAAAGGAAAGTTTTCGAGAGTTTCACTACAATCCAAATGTCACAATTGCCAGTTTTAGATTGTCATTTCGAGTATAATTTCATGACACACACACGTATACAGTTGGCATATATATATATATATATTTTGCCTCATAAAGTTTATATTTCTATGTTAAATTTAGATGCAGAAGCATATAACAAATCCTATATATTTAATATAAACATTTTAGTGTCTAATTATTTTTCTTTTACAATTTTTCTATTTTTAAAGAAACGAATATTTATATAAAAATTCATCATTCAAATAAGAATATAACTAACAATTTTTATATTTTTTTAACAAGCAAATGGTATTTGTGGGGCTCAACAGTAGCTTCTTTCTTGCCACCACTGAAATATTGTGTGTATAATAGTTTACACTATATACTACTCTCATAATTTAAAACACGAAGTTTCTAATATGAAAAAATTTAATGAAACTCAGTTTCATAAGAAGAGAATTTTCTAATAATGGTTTCTATTATTAATTAATTTTATTCTATTTCTTTTTATACTTCTCTTTTTACAATAAAAAAAAACCCCCCAAGTTTTTTTGAAATGAAAAATAAAAGCTTATAAATTTCTAATACTCAAATAATTTTCTAAATGTAACTTTACTTGAAAGAGATATATTTATTTAGAAAATTATACAAGTCATTCCAATCATTTGTCTCTTGGATTTCACTCACAATTTAGCTAATGTAAATCTAGCGAAAACTCCTCAAGGGGGTTTTCGGTAGTTGTATCTTCCACAGAACAGAGTATTGATCTTAGTCTCTTTTCGTTTACGCTCTACCTGTTTCTATGTTTGTCTCACGGAGGATAAAATGACGACTCTCGCAAGTCGAGAGAGATATATATATAACCCACAAAATTTCAACTTGAAATGATAAAAAGAAGAATCCTCGCTCTCTTTTTCTCTCTCCATCTCAAGACAGATTTAAGTTACTTCAAAAAGATACGATCCAATCCAAAATTCTAAATATTTATCTTTCACATTCTCGCTTTCATCTATATTTTCCAACGTCGTTTCTTGGTATTTCTCAAGAACTTTATCTTTTAGAATATTATACCGTGTATTTTGAAATTATTATATATTAATATTATTCAAAACAAACTTTATATTCGTGTGGTTAAAAATAAAAATTTCATGAAATGAATAATTTAATATATATTGACTTTCATCTCCTGTCTATATATAAATAATAAAGAGAAAATTTACATACAACCAAAATTGTAAAATTTTAAAACTAAATCCTAAGTAAAGCCGACACCTAATACTTTAATAGTAAATCAACAAGAATTTGAAACTAAAATTAATTTTTACTACTGATAGTGATAATAAATTATCAAGAATTTGCAATGTTTTACACCTAAAAATTTACTTTTACTACTGAGAAATAAATCACAATTAAGAGACTATGTCTGATTAAAACTGTCTTTTACTACTGAAATAAAAATTAAAATAAATTATTCCAATAAAGTGTAACTATTTTTTTCTATTGATACTAAAATTACAGTCTGACTAAAAACTGCCTTTTACTACTGATAAAAATTACAAGAATTCGTAAATTGTTTGATAATAAAAATAAATAAATGTCTGAATATAAAAATATAAAACAGATTTTTAACGTGTTTCAAGGGATAAGAATTATTAATAAAATTGAAATGTCTGACTACAACTTGATTTTACCACTGATACTAAAATTACAAAAATTATAGTTCCGTCTGACGAAAATTGACTCTTTACTACTGATATTGGTATAATCTGGTACGTCTGACTATAACTAAATTTTACCACTTACAATAAACTAAAATATTATAGTACTGGAAACTGTTACTATTAAATCAAATATTACACAAAAATATTTTATCCACCTGCAACTGACCTTTTTTTTACTAAATTTCAAGAAATCGAAAACAGTCTGGCTAAAACACCCTTTTACTACTAAAAACAATTTCAAAAATTCTCAATAACAAAAAAATATGAAAAATAATAATTTCGATATCAATAAATAATTCAATTTTATGGACGAAAAACGCATAGATGTAAAATGACAATACATATAAATGGCAAAACCCACAAAGTGAAAAGTTCGTTTTATTTTGCCACATATATAAAAGAGCACTATACCAATGAAAAATTTGTGTTAATATTTATAATTTATATATACACGTGAGTGAGTCACGTTTTACGGATGAGAAGGCGAAAATCCCAACGGATCCATAATCGATCCGGTTGATCGTACACGCGCATAGTTTATAGCCGTCACCACTGAGCCAGCAAGTAAGAGAGTTCGAGCAAAGCCATTAATTCGTACGTGTAGATGTCAGCCAGAAACGGATAAGTGCACCCAACGGAAGATATATATCTCCATTTAGGCAGCAATGGTACCTACTCGTTAAAACTAGTTCTAAGGGGGTTAATAAATTAGTGTTCTTTTGCGTTTCGTCTGAGAAGAGTACCACACTCGACCTATATCTGGCCACGAATTTTCTAATGGGAATTGTAAAAAAAAAAAAAAAAGAAGACAAACGACCTTAAAAATTTTTCCAAAACTCTATTTTTCAAAAATATAGAAGAGAATGCATTTTCTCTTTTTGTTTAAATAAATCTTGTTTCTTGTATTCATTCATAATTCTATTATCTACATTGGTTTTTCTCCCCCCAAATAAAAAAAAATAACAAAATACGAGTTTCTAATTAATGTTTTATAACATGTTCGCAGTTAAATATTTGTCAATTGAAGCACTATTTTCTACCGCGTGTGTAGAGTCGTGCCCAATACATTTTCAATGATTCGACGACCGTATTCTCGACGTTCTGACCCGATTGATTTTATTAGGAAGAACGTGAATTGAATTTCTCTTCACCGCAAACTTCATTCGTGCACAAATAAAATGTAAAAAGTGACATTTCTTCTTTTTTTGAAATATCTCGTAAAGTTTAAAAATTATCCACTCTCAACTACTGCGTATGCAAAACATAAAACTAATTTTTTTCTATAGCATAAATTATCAATTTTTTATCAATTTTGTGAAAACAATTTTCCTCTGTATATCAAATAAATGAAACAGAAAAAAAGGGAATATAATCAAGTTCTCAAGATAAATTTCCATAAAATTGCTTATCCCTTTTTGGCAAATTAAAACTCTAACAAGTTTTATTCCCTATTTTCTCTTTCTCCTCTGGTCAAGTGAATAGAAATACTGTCGAGAAGAAAGAGGAAGGGGTTGTGTATACAAAATGATTATATATTTATCTCACTCTCATTATCCTTGTGCACCTCATTCTAGAAAAAGAGAATAAGAGAAAAGAAATGCAAGTATTTATCAACTTGGTGCAATGTTGTGTGTGTGTTCTCTCACGCTCTTGTTTTGTTGAGATCTGTGCGAAGGAGAATCAGAATGAGATGCTGCAAATTCACGTTTGGAAGTATTTCGTTTCATTAAATTAAACTCAACGTGCAGATGAATAGAACTGAGAAAGCAGAGACGAGTCTGGTACTGAGGTTAAGCTAGGTTATCCATTAAGATGGCATCAACTCTCTCATTCCAAACCTTCGTTCACTCCTTCCTTCGACTTACTTCTCCCATCTCTATCTCCTTCTCTTTCTCTCTTGACTAGTTTTAAAAACACGATTCTCCTTCGTCCGCACCTGCTATCGACGATTGAGTACATCCATCCCAGATTCTCGTTTCCCTTCTCTCATGGATTCCAATCGGAATGACGAAGAACCATGTTATACGTCGCTTCTGACGTACTTTATGCCCTGTAATCCTTTCCAATGTGTCTCAAGTACTATCAACTCATTCCTTCATCCTTTTATATAAAAAAAAAAAACCCCCTCTATCAAAAGAGTCCAGAAAACATAAATTCTGAGTGAATTTATTTTCTCCTATTTACATTCAATTTGATATATTAAAAGCTCAAGTAAAAAAGTTTTTTCAAAAAAAAAAAAAAAAAACTACATTTCACTCTCTGATATTTGAAGCAAAAGGTACAAACTTGATACTCGCGCACTTTTCGGAAAAAAATTAAAAGACTTTTTTTTCATGCAAAGTAATTCAATGCTTTAATGCTTGAAATATATTGAAGATCAAATCAAATATCATAAAAACAATATTGTAAAAAAAAGTTATTTTAACTTGAAAGGGGGGAAATGGATTTTTCCAAACAGACGAAAGATGACCATGCATCCCGGAAAATATATACTATATAGAACATTCTACTGGCAAAATGACACAGCGGAAGTGCACTCTAAGCTGAGAAATTTATTTTATTTTTATTCCTTGTTCACTGCAATACGAGCTTCCTCTCTTCTTTTGCGGGACGAATATAGGAAAACCTGCGCGAATTCAGAAATTGCATCTTGTCTCGCAGAGAGAGAGAGAGAGAGAGAGAGAGAGAGAAAGATTTTCATTCTCCACATATAGTATATGCAGCATACAAATAATACATCATAAGATTCACGCTTCTTGCTTGCAATTCTTACTTGCTTTGATTTATGTCTCTAAAAGCAAGAACCCTCGTATTCATTTAATATATAATATACAAATTTTACCAAATTCTTCCAATTTCAACAAATTTTTGAATTTTCTTTTTACTTATATGTATTGTATAACTAAAATTTCGTTTTACTGCTGAAAATTAATATGGAGGAATTTCAACCATTTTGTCTGACCAAACTGACCTTTTACTACTGAAACTCAAAGTATACGAATTTTTAACCATTTTGTCGGACTAAAATTTTCGTTTACTACTGACACACAAACTAGAGGGATTTTTACTACTTCGTCTGACTAAAATTGTCTTTTACTACTGAAACTCAAAGTATAAGAATTACAACCATTTTGTCTGACCAAATTGACCTTTTACTACTTAAACTCAAAGTATACGGATTTTTAACCATTTTGTCTGACTAAAATTTCCTTTCACTACTGAATCTCAAAGTATAAGAATTTCAACCATTTTGTCGGACCAAATTGACCTTTTACTACTTAAACTCAAAGTATACGAATTTTTTTCCATTTTGTCTGACTAAAATTTTCGTTTACTACTGAAACCCAAACTAGAGGGATTTTTACTACTTCGTCTGACTAAAATTGTCTTTTACTACTGAAACTCAAAGTATAAGAATTACAACCATTTTGCCTGACCAAATTGACCTTTTACTACTTAAACTCAAAGTATACGAATTTTTTTCCATTTTGTCTGACTAAAATTTTCTTTGACTACTGAAACTCAATGTATAAGAATCTCAACCGTTTTGTCTGACTAAAATTACCTTTTTACTACTGAAACCCAAACTAGAGGGAATTTCTGCTATTTTGTCTGATTTAAACTATCTTTTACTACTAAAACTAATGTTTCAATAGTTCGTTGAGTAAAAACTCAGAGCAATTTTTCACAATCTGACTATAAATATTATAATTTAAAAAAAACAAAAACTTACAGTTTTCTGCAATTGCTCGTGTCCGACCTCAATTTCAGTGCTGTACTCGTACGATGAACACTTTGACAAACACGCATAGTGTAAACTTGACGTTTGATGTTTACCCAAACTGAAACAGAAAATAAACATCTGAATTAGAAACAGGCAAATTTTACAAATTTAAATATATTAATTTTACAAAATTGTTTTTACTATACTGTAATGAAAATTAAAATATTTTATCAACAATTCTTTTACTTAAAGAACAATTATTTTATTAACCAATGAGAAAAAGTTAAGACAACATTAAGACGTTTTCTAAATGTCTTGTTTTAAAATAAGACACTTTTTCAGTTTATATTCTAAAACTAAGAAAATCCAAAGGATTTTCCATAATTCCAAGTTGGTATTTAGTTGGCCAGTATTTTTTTTTTTACAACTATTTTAAAATGCACTTCCGGTAGATCGAGAATTTTAAACATGGGACAAGTTTCGTTGAGCAGAGGCCAAAATCTCCTTTACGAATCTATATAGCTGAGACTTTGGTTTTCTCTCTGAGAAGATAAGAGGGTGAGGAGTAGAAGAAGTAGAACTTCGAGCCTTTAGCATGAGAGCAAAGACCCCCGTGGAATATTTATGCCTGCGCGCACTTTATAGTTAAACGTTCTACATCCTTATCCGAACTCTCGCGAAGACTTTTAATGAAATGTTGTGACAAACGCATAATGGTAGTAAGTACCTGGCGAGAAGCAGCTGAACTTCCGCCGCCGCCGCGCCGAGAACTAGAAGAAACTTTCTACAATAGCCAAAGGAGTATGTATGCGCACAAAGTTTCTGGCAATAGTTTGTGAAATTTAATTATCACAAAGAAAAGTAAAAGAGGCTTAGTTAGTCGACACTATATTTAATACCATTTTCTCATTATATTATTTACCTACATTCCAAATAATTGATAAAAATAAATTTTAAAAATTTTTAAAATAAAATTATTTCAAAATTTCTTTAAATTTTTATATGAAAAAAGCAAAAAAATGTTTTTAGTGTAGGGAATTTTTTTTTTCAAAAAGTAAGTCAGAGCTTTACCAAGTGGTTCAACAAACGTTATATATAAAGTGCAAAGAGCGCGAAGATAAGGCATGACAGCATTTTGTGCCTCCTCGACCCAATCCCCCCTCTACGTATATTATTTGCCATTTTCATTTCTCTTGTACATTTATGAAGGCGCGCGATTCAACTTTAATGCTTCCTCTATTTGAAGTTTCAACGTTTTAGTCATAACTTGACTGAATGAGAAATTCTCAACACTCCCCTAGAACCATCAAACAATATACATATATATATATCTGACCCATTCAGCTGCCATTAATTACAAGATTTCTGCTTCGCTTTTCTTCCTTCGAGAAACATAATATTTCACTAATTCTACTACAATTATTTTCTATATATAAAAGCGTCTAGTATTTTTAACATTCATGTTTTTTTCAATTTTATTTACAAATATATATATATATATATATAATTGAAAATAAAAACTTGTATTTAAAAATAAAAAATCTAATAAATATCACTCTTTTCATTATTTCATTTCCATTAAATCCTCTGTATCGTGAAAAACTTTTTGTACATTTGATGACACGGAGAAGTATTTTGTTTCCGGTTATTGGACTCGTCAAAGCAATCAAACGATAGAACAGACAAAAATGGAGGAAATATGGTAGAGTAATTAGAAAATTTAATTGCTCCAGTTCAGTATTTTTTACCAAATGAATAAATTGACGTAAACTGTTTTGTTGCCCCTTTTTTTTAATAATAAATAATAATTCTAAAAGAATGACAAAAATAAATCAAACCAATTAATTAATTGAAAATTTTTCAAACTTAATTTTAAATTATTATTTTTATTTTCTGAATAATTATATATATATTTTTTTTTCCCTTGATTAAAAATGAGAAATTCACAACTAAAATTATGGGACAATGAAGCTCATGAACGTTTCATATCTCAATATGAAGCGAATGCAACGTGTGTAAGGGCGGAAATGGATAAGGATGACGAGACGTTTGGTTAATTACTCCTCGTGATTAATAGCATCATTCAACTAGAGAGAAATTTATACGCAGCTTTGTGAGAACCAACGCCGGCCTTTAGAGATACACGTCTTTGTTAGACACTTGTGCTATCGAACCTAAAGTTTCATCGATTTCACAATCCCAAAAGCAATTCTATCTCTCTCTATATATATATATATGTATATATTCTGATACGTTAATCGTCAGAAACAAGAGGGATGCATTAAGTTAAATCCAACATTGTATACAATGTGTCTTAATAAATTTCAGCACATTAATTGAAGTGAATGAATTCAAAAACAAAATAATAGAAAAAAACATTTTTCAAATATACTGTAAAATTTTTTTTAATTATTGAAAGTTTTTCTACATTCATATAAATATTTTTCAAAGTGATTTCAATTTAATATGAATTTTTAAAGGTTTTCTTTTTTTTGTTTTGTACTTTTATCCTAGAAAAAAAATTCAGTTGATATAACAACGTGAATTTCGATAGTTAGAATTTTGTAAATAAATTTTAGAACACCTTGTATGTATGCTTGCACTAAATTGGTCACGATAGTTGCACGCGTTAACGACCGTCGCAACTCTCTGATTACAGCATGCACATTGCACATGTAGAAACTACATTGGCTACGCCTATGCACGAGTACAAATGGGCTAGTATACCAACCGTGTTGAAATGAAACAATCAATCGGCAAACAACATTATTGTACGAATTTTCAGTTTATTTGAGTTTCAAATACAAATGTTACATTAATTTTCAAGTCATTGATTAAAAATTCAAAACACTATTATTAAAGATTTAAAGAATCAACAAACGTTAAAATAAACGTTCTATTTTTAATATATTATATTATAATTATTACCTATATTATATTATTATCATAATATTATTCTATTATAATATAATAATAATTAATACCTATAATAATATTTTATAATGAAAATTATTAATGACTGAAAATTACATAACATCACAGAAAATTAAAAGGCATTAAAATAAGGCTTTTTAACGCTTATTATTTTAATCCTATTTTGCTTATTTTAATACCAAAATGGATTAAAATAAGCAAAATTGGATTAAAATAATAAGCGTTGCAGCTTATTTTATAATGAGTTTTGAATGTTCAAATGAACGAAATTTTTTTTTGCAACTTCTTTAAGTACGAATTTTATTACAAAATATTGTTTTAAATACCTAAAAAGATGGTATTAATTTAATAATTGTTTAATTTACTATTGTATTTTACATATTGCCATCATAATTTTTAATAATTTGTAAATTGAAAAAAATATTTCGTTCATTTAAACGTTCAGAATTTTTGGCTCATTGATTGAAAATGAAATTTTATATTTAATTTTTTGATGAAATCTAAAACTGAAAACAACGCACACTTATTATTTTTCTCCTTTTGCAATGTGAATTCAATAAATAAGAATTACTTGAGTGTAAAATTTCTATCCAAATTGAATGAATGCTTTTTCTATATAAAGACTTTCATTTGCAAAAATCCAATTTTTAACAAGATACGAAAATTTTCCTGATACAAACATTTATCCGACTAAAACTGACTTTCATTACTAAAAAAAAAAAAAAGAAAAAATGACAAAAATTTGATTATATTTTTCTCTAACTTCAAATTTATTATTGATTTAATTATTATTTACAAAAAAGGTTTTTTCACTCACAAAATGTATACTATATATATATGCTACAATGAAATCGTAATTCTCTAAAACCACAAGAAGGAATTACGACCTGTCGCGTTTACGCAGGGAAATTTTAAACAGATTACCGTCTCGCTGGCACAAAACGCTTTTACTATCCTCTAACAGAGATTCAAAGTACTTGAGCAATGGTATAGCAAGTAAACAGTCAGAAGAAAACAGCATTGGAAAGACGATCTATGAGACTGGCTGCGAAATATTATACTCCCAAAAAGAAAAATGAATACACCTTTATGAAACAAACTTGTTTACAATAGACACAACTTGCAAAGAAAAATTTCAATTACCACTTAAAAAATAAAAACAAAAAATTTAAACTAATAAGCAATGAAAATATATAGAATAAAAAAAAACATTTTTTTAAACTTCAAGTATAATAAAAATAAATACTTTCTCATTTCTAATAAGAATGTAAAATACATTCCAAAATGAAGAAATTTAATTTAAAAATCACTGTATAAAAACAAAATTTATATAAATTTGAATTTTATGCGAAAATTATTATTTATCATAATTAACTATACCTACTGCAATTTTAATTTAATAAAGAAAGAAATTTTAATTTAAAAATATAAAATATATATAATCCTGGATATTTTTTTTCCCCAAGAATTAACATTGTAAAAAAATATATGTTAAATTGTAATGAGAAGAAGTATGAAAAACTAAATGCCTTCGTAATCAAAGCAAACTCTTTAACATTGTATGTACATGCACTTATTTTCCCTTTTTTTAATTCCGTTCTTGATGGAAATACGCAGACTGACAATTTTAACACACTCTGCTAGAAACCCACTTTCATTCTACCGTCTCTGTCATTTTCATTTAATTAATAGAATCATCCTTTTCATTTTTCAACGCACTCACTCGCACACCTCAGTTCGCCTCTATTTATACTTTGTTCCTTTAATTTCTTTGCAATTTCATATTATTTAAGTTCATTAAAATCTAATTGTTTTTATTATCAGAAAATTGCATTTTGTCGTGAAAAATGATATCAAAATTTCACAATTTATTATCACAAAAAAAAAAAATTATAATTATATAGAGTAAATAAAATTCGATTAAGAATATTTTGTCTGACTAAAATTGTCTTTTACTACTGAAACCTAGAGGGAATTTTTGTTATTTTGTCTAACAAACTGTTTTTCACTACTCTAACTAAATTTTCAATAATTTGCAAAATAAAAATCAATAAGAACAATTTTTTATATTCTGGCAAGTCATTCATATAAATATTATAATTGAAAAATAAAAACTTACAGTTTTCTACAACTGCTCGTGTCCGATCTTAATTTCAGGGATGTACTTGTACGATGAACGCTTTGTGTAAATTCGATTATTCTCCAAAACTGAAACAATAAATAATTTAAATTAGAAACAGGAAAATTTTACAAAAATATATTAATTTTGCAAAATTATTTATTTTTTACTATAATTTACCAAAATTAAAATATAATACAAGAATTTCTCAACAATTGTTTAAAAAATTTTTTAATAATTAAATGATTAATAATTTGTATAAATAAAATTTAATTAAATATATAATAACTAATTAATAAAAATTCAAATGAATTTTTTTTTTTATTTCTCAGTAATAAATGGAAATGTATCATTAGAATTTTTTTGACACATTGTAATGAAGAAACTTTTTTTTTATACATTTTCACGACTATAGAATGGGCGAATATAAAAAGTTGTCGGATAGAAATAAAATTGATCTGTCGCGTAGTTACTATTCAGTTTGACAGTTCTAATTTATTTTTTCCTCTTGGGTTTCATGGATATTCGGAAGGCGTTCCATATATAAATGTAACGTGCATACCGGGACTACAATTCCAGTTTTTTCTTTTTTTTTTACAAAAAAAAAAAAAAAAAAACTTTTTTTTCCCCCCCGTCGCACAAGGGATCGGGCACGAAATGGAGCTGGAGGAATCCGATTTTCTGCCGTTGATGTTGCCCAGGCAGAAAATGGTGTAAAACTATTTCCGTGGTCAATACCGAGGAATAAAGGGAATAGAAGTTCTTTAATAATAGAAATGCCAAAGAATGGATTTACCCTGGAGTTGACTGTAAAGAGAATGAAAAAAAGGCAAAAAAAGGACCCACTTTAACCTGCGTTCATAAACTCGCGAAGTAAAATCTCAAGAATAATAAGAGAAGAAGAAAAAAGAGACAAAACTTAACAATTCTCAAACATTTAGGTGACCAAGTTTTTTTAAATTTCGCTAAAAAAAAAGAACAGTTTTCTTTTTATTCTTTAATTTAAGTTTCTTAAATATTTTTAATAATGTTAAATTAAAAATTTGAAATTTTTTTTATATGGAAGTGAATAATGGAAATATTCTCCCTTATATCGTTTCATTATATTCACTAAACAATGAGTTGTATTTAATAGCTCTTAATTGGCTGTAAGATTAAAATCACATTTTCTCGAGTTACGAACCAAGAATCCACAAGAGAGAGAGAGAGAATGGGAGAGAGTAAATGATGATGAAGTTTTCTCATAAAATAAATTACGCAGTCCTCTCCTTAATTCAGCACAGCCGACTTGCCTGACTGGTAATATTACATATTTTCCTAACGGCAAAAGTTCCGGAAGTCTTGTTGAAGTATATCCTCAGTTCATCCTCATGAACTTTCAGGATTTCCGCGCGAGACGATAGGCGCAATTTCGGTAATAAAGAAAATGAGGCACTTGCAAAATTTATTCACATTATACATATATACTTATCGTGAACATTTTTAAAAATATAAAAATATCAGTTTTCGCAACTATATCATGCGATTTTCTTTCTCTCCATAAAGATATATATAGATATTTTACGCGATCTCGGTATAATCTCTTCTTTACCCCTTTTTTCCTCCCTCTCTAAAATCCATTAGTTTAGATTATCCCCTCTAGTATTTTATATCTAAGCCTTTTTATGATCAAAAGAAAATAAGAAAAATTGGAACCAAAAGAGAAAATTGAAAATTTTAATCCAACTATCTCGCTTTTCTGTTACAGCCATTGTACAAATGATTATATTGCTGTCTACGCTGGATCAACGACCACGAGTCCTCTCTTAAAAATGCTTTGTGGAAATGAAAAAGCTTATGTCACACATGTAGGACGTAACCTTCTCGTCGAATTTCGGTGAGTTTTATACATTCTATTACGAAAAAAAAATATTACGATTTTCATTTTTGAAAAATACAATTTTAGATCTGGATTTGAAGTACCACCATACAATTACAATGGTTTTGTTGCGAGTTTAAATTTTCTCGAATTAACCACTGAAGCACCAACTACAATAGCAGCAGAAAGTACAAGTAGAACACGTAAGTTTATAATAAACATATTTTCCTTTAAAGCAAAAATTGGAAAAATATTTGGAAAAAAAAAAATTTTTGAAATTTAAACAATTCACAGCAATGCCATTCGCAATTGAAATGATTCGCTCGCCAAGCATAAGCAGTAATCATGAAATGCGCTACACTAATCGTGATTTACATGATCATCGAAAAGATGAGGAATCATCAATGAGCTGCGAATTAGAAGTGAGTGGTGATAAAATCAGAGCTGGCCATCATGACACTCGTGGAAAATTAAAATCTACAACTTGTCGCCTTATTCTTCGCGGACGTGTTTACGACACCGTTCACGTATCCTTGGTCAGCTACAATCTCAGGTATAGACATTTATTTACAATTACTTTAATATTTCTTTTTAATCACAAAATAGTAACGAAGCAAAATAAAAAATACAACAAAACATACAACAAAAAGTCCTTTCTCTAAATCATCATTTCTCCTCTAATTATATTTTACAATATTAATTAAGTCGACTTGATATACGCAAAAAATAAATTCGTAATCTTTATAAAAAAAAAAATGATTTAATTCATTCTCTTTTCCCCTTGTAAACTTTTACCGTCAAAAGTCGCTTAACATTGTTTTCCCAGAGTAAAGAATTTTTTTTTTTCCTTTCACCTTCGAGGCAAAATTAGCGAGTGGTGTACTGCGAATGACGGTTCTTCAATTTCCTTCAATCCTGAAATAAGATCCTCATCGTGAGAACTCATTTCGCGGGTCTGTGGTTTCCACTCAAAGCATTTCACCCCTATCCAACCTCTATCCACTCTCTCTCTCTCTCTTTCTCTCCCCCTCTCACCTCAACTTCCTCCTCGTCAATCGACTTTGCTTTCTACACTTCAGAACAGGAAGATACACCAGACACTTTAATTGATACAAGACAAAAAAGAATAATTTCTCTGGCAAAAGAGAGAATTTATAATATTTCTTACAATGAATATTACTGGACATTTTAATTATTATTATTATTATTAATTTACCTAAAATTACAATTGGTAATATAATCTAATTAGAGAAATTATAATAGATCAATAATAATTTACAAGATGTCGAGAAAAATTAATTTACAAATTGAATCAAATTTTTCTCCTATTATCGTTAATTGAATCATAGAATTTGCTTACATAATCATTATGATATCAAAATGTGAAATCTCTATACTCTAGTCTACTGAATAATTTGCATATATACAAAACAAAGCATATCAAGTTTATCATTCGAGTAGATACTTTTGAATTCGGCACTTCGATATCGTAATATATACATTCCACAAGAGAGATATACATTCGAGAGAATATTACTCGATAAGGATTTCATATTCTAGAGGAACCATTACGACCAATCAATATTGAACTCTAGAAACTTATAAATAAAATATCAAAGCCCCGATGCCGAAGATATGATTGGATTTTAAGATGTAAACAGTAAATAAGAAGAATATGGAAAATGGCATATCCTATTCAATTCTTTTTATATATCTCCAATAATAAAAAGATATGCATTCATAATAGTTATTCCTACAATGCAAAAAAAAGTTACATTCATTTAAATGATATTTTTCTTAAAATTAAATATAAATTTCTTTAACATTAATCCCTCTTTCTCTCTCTCTCTAATAAATGAAAAAATAAATCTAATGAGATCTAAATTTTAGAAGCATATCTATTTTATTTGTTAAATAAAGAGAAAAATGTACGATTAAACTACTGGTATAAAGTTTTATCTCACTTACTAAAGAGTGCTCTCAACTTATAAGAAGAAAAGTTTTCTTATAACTTCACGGCTTGTTTCTCAAAGCGTGCCAGTTTAAGACAAAAACTTTTTAAACGAACCGACAACGCCGAGTTGGCTAATCGAATATATTACTTACATTATGCATGTGTCGCTAAGTTTCAATTTAATTAACACAACTCGGCCAAACTTACAAAAGTAATTAGTTAACATACTTCAATTTATGTCAGTACAAGAAAACTACTCCCACATTGTATACAAATGTGATAACAAAAATTTGAATATATCAACATTTTACAAAAAAAATATACACTTTCATCACAATAATTTTATAAATACCCTTATGAAAATTCCTTATAAAAAAATAATGTTAAAGCTGCAATATTTTCAGTATAATGTTTTTTGTATAATATTTTCGCGATTATAGGTAATTTTTTATAAGAAATTCATTATAAAATTTTTTTTCTCAAATAATTATAAAAATATAATTATTAGAGACTCTGTAATAAAATCATTAAAATTTTATAATTATGAAAATGTAATATAATTATTTTCTTATAAGGAATTTTCATAAGGGTACAAATTATGATATTAAAAAGTTTCTACATTAATAAATTTAAATTATAAATTATAAATTATAAATTATAAATTATAAATTATAAATTATAAATTATAAATTATAAATTATAAATTATAAATTAAATTTACAAATCATAAAAAGTGTATATAAAATTTCAAATAATTTTTTCATTAATATAATCAAAGTATTTCTCACAATATCCTAGTTATCAATTCGATATTAATTGAAAATACAAAAGGGGATAATAAAATGATATTGCGATTTTGATTAATAATAATAATAATATGTATAAGAAATAATGCCGCGTACTCAATTTCAATTGAATAAACGCAATTTTCAAATATAAACGAGAGTCATGAAAAGTCGTGCCGGACGTAACGCGAGTTTGTATCACTGGGATTTTCAATTATCATACACAATAGCAACAACATGCAAACTCTATATTACCTTTGGAGATTCAGTCGTGAAACATAGAGAAGTGGAAATACCAAGGGAACAACGTCCTGGATTATATGGGTAACCTCGAGGGGTCTTACCGTGAAATATAATCAGAAACAAAACTAGAGAAATAACTCGTGAATCTCGATATATAAATTAACAAGGGGATTTTTTTCAATATTTCTTTATAATTAAAAATAAAATAATAATGAAACTTTTCTTTTTAATTTGGTTCTAGAAATTCTAAACTAAAACCAATTTTTAATTGATTTGTTCTTAATAAATAACAATTAATAACAATAATAATAATAATAATAATAATAATAATTAATCATATTTTTCCAATTAATAATTATAAAATGAATACTAATTACAGTGCACCATCTTGCAAATCATCAGTGGAGGTATTAGATGGTTCACAGGAAGGAAGTGTACCAGGAACCGTCAAAACACTAACGAAAATTTGTAGTCCAGCTCAAAAATTCGCACAAGATTACAAATTGCCTAATAAGTAAGTATTTATAAAACGTAATATCGTTTATTTTCAAATTATTATTCTTTTCATCATTTATATAAATTCATTTGTGAATTGGTTTATACTTGAAAAATACTTCAAAGGTTTTGTTTTTGCCTTCACATACAATAATATACATATCTTTCATATACGCAATGCTACAATCGAGATTTACTTTTATCCTCTCTCTCTCTCTCTCTCTCTCTCTCTCACTAAAAAACTTGATTTAATGAACCTTTTAATTACTGAATGTTTATTCGGTTTGTTTTTATGGAACTGAATTAATTTTCAGTGCACTTTCAAAAGCAATAAAGATCACGTTTTCATTGAAATCTCCATGGCAAAGCGTTTTAACAAGATTTTTAACTTTATATGAAATTTCAAAAGGACTTGAAAAAACTTTTAATCGTATTTGTAAAATGTGGTGAAAACTTTACACTTCACAGCGACATTTTTTTCATGGACGAATGAAAAAACTTTTCATACTTTTAATCTTTAATCAAATTTACATATATATGATCTATACTTGAAACAAAATTTTCGGGGTTTTTTTTTATTTTTGTTTAGCGTTACATAAAAAAAATTGAGATTCTATTTGAAAGTTTTTTTTTGTCTTTAGCGCGTTTCAGTCGTATCATGTGTATATATGGACGTTGTGATAAAATGCACATCTCTCTCTGGAAGTCAAAGCATGAAAGATAGCTATATTTATTGTACTCCCAAGAGCATTATGTACCTATAAACGTATGACGTCGTATAACTGTGAAAATATATATAATATATATATATACGTCTACTCACGGTAAGAGATATAAGAGAGAATCATATTTGCGAATATATATATATATATAAAATAAGTTATATAAGCATACGCAATACTAACATTTCCTTATCATTTTAACTTCCACGTGTCTCAAATCCTAAGAAAAATTAGACTTTTTCAAAAAAAAAAATAATTGACTACAAAAAGAAATTATGTTTTCCCACACTTTAGAATTATTCTAATTATGTTGCAATGGCAAAAGAAACTAATTTAACAACACAATTAACATATTTAATTTCCAAAGAATTTTTCATAACATGATATTTTTATACCTTTGTATAATCAACTATTTTCAGAATAAAATATTTCCTCCTTTTACAAGTGAAAATTCATATTATGAATTTATATTATAATGCAAAATAATAACAAATTTCACATTTTTAATAATAAGCAACACATTTTTCCCTTTTACTAATACATAAAGACCTCCATTTATGTTTCCTGATTTTTCTGATTAAATATATAAATTTTCCATGTATAGCCTCAAGGATTATACAATTTTTATAGTAATAATTTATTTAATGTAAAAAAATATTAATAAAGCGAAAAGAGAATGCAGAGTAAAAAAAAAATGTAAAAAAGACAGAGGAATAATTAAAAAAAAAAAAAAAAAAAAAAGTTTTATCTTAAAAGAAACTAAAACTTTCTCAATTTCACTAATATACAAGATTTTTTTTCTCCATTCAATGTAATTTTCTTTTTTTTCAACGATTATAAAATATGAAAATGATACTAAATATGAGATGAAAATTTGCCGTACACTATTTCTAAGTAGAGAGACGTTTATATGAAAAACGACTGAAATGGAAAACGTCTTGAAAAGTTGAAGAGAGAGAGAGAGAGAGAGAGAGAGAGAAAAAAGAAGGAAATAAATATAAATATACATCGCGCACCTCTCTCTCGCTTGTATATTATGCAAGCCCGAGGAAAAAAAGTCGATTGGAAATGTGAGAAATGTTTGTTAGTGCGTGTGAGAAACCTTTTTGACAATGTGTAAAAAAAAAAGTATTTTACACACACTGTAAAGATATTATGAATACGATCCGTAAAGATGGTTGACGTAACTGCAACTGTAATCTATGAAAGCGTTTGATACATACATAGGTGTGTGTGTATAAACCTACACGTATGTATTATACATCTATGTATATACTCTAAAAAAAACCCCTCAGGGGAAGCTGCAGGGTTAAAAGATTTCCCAGAAGAGATTTCAAGAGAGCAGATGATTTTCCATTCAAACGTTTATGTCCTCAAATACTTTATTACTATATAGCCGAAAAATAATATTTACAAATTCGAAATTGCGTTTTCCCTGATCCATCAAATTTTATTAAATAACCCATTATTTTGATTTTTTTCTATTAATTAAATGTTAATAATATGATTATTAATACGATTATTAATATTATTAATATTATTAATTATTATTATTATTATTATTATTAATTTATTCATTATTAAAAAGAAACTAAATTTATTGTAATAAAATTTTTCCAATAAATTAAAATATTTACCTTAATAACGAATTCTCAGCTTCAAGGAGATTCTTTCAAACTAAATAGCCCTCGGAGATCCCTACTTTCAAGTTAAATTTCCATTTAGAAAATGTGAAAAATAACCGTAAAAATAGACCGAGTTCTAAAAAGTCTGCAACTGAAGAATCCTTTGTCCTTCAGATATCCTTTTTTTCTTTTGCCCTTGAAGAACGTAACACCACAAAACATCGTGGATAGAATCTGAAAAAAGAAAAATTAAAATAATTTCATACTGAAAGCTATAAAAAATTTCATTTTCAAAATGTTAACACATCACAATAAATACTAGAAAGCATAATATATTATGCAAAATAAAATCACAAAATATAAAAATATAGAAGAAAAAAAAGAAATGAAAGAAAAATCATAAGAGAAATAAGTCGAAGAAATAGTATTTATCAGTGGAACAACCCTTACAATGGTCAGACAATGGATTTGACTGTTTTACGAGCAATTTATCGTTTCAGCACATGAAAAGAAATAACTTTCACGAATATTTTCATCGTAGTTGAAAGTGAAGCGCTCGCACAGCTGTGGTATATGTAAATTCCTTATGGTGATATAAGGGGGGAAAAAAGAGAGGGGGTTAAAAATCGCCTGAGCTTCGAGGCAAATAGCAGTAGTTATAACGTTGCCCGCTATGGTTTTAATCTATTTTAATTTCTAACGTGCCAGACAACGTTAAAGGGGGGGTGAGGAGAGAGAATTTATGCTTAACAGTGTAGCTTCAACATGGATGCACGATGGTATATACGTACGTGCCTATGAGGCTACCACGTGTTTTATGTTCACTAATCTCGTAAAAATTCATGCAAAATAAAGCCCATATTTCATTCTCTCTTTTTCTACGCGTATATATATATATATACACACGAGGTCTCTGGCATTTGTGCGACAAAGCCACTCTTCCTTCCTGGCAAACAGGAAACGACTCTGCGTGTTACCTGACGGACCGTCAAATGCCGTTAATAATCAAATTTCCCATCTACATTTCCTCTTTATCGTAAAACTGAATTTTTTCGTTAATTATAGAATATAATTCCCAGCTTTAAATGTTTTTCCTCTTTAAAGTATAATTCTTTTTTTTTCAAATATTTTCAAGTTCTATAGTTTCTTTAAATCAAGAATTTGGAATGTCTGACTAAAATTATATTTTACTACTGACATCTAAATAAGAAAAATTATCTCACTGCTAAAATATAAAATACCAATTCAAAGAAAATTGAAATCAGCTACTAGTATTACTGAACATTAAAAAGAATTTTTCTATTGTCTAACTAAAATTGTTTTTTACCACTGAAATCTAAAATACTGGAAATTTCGTCTGGTTTACACTGTCTTTTTTCAACTGTTACATGATTCAAGAAGATTTAAAAACACTCTGTCTGATTGTGACTTACTTTTACTACTGATAGAATTTTACGAGAATTTTATATAGCCTTACTGAAACTGTTTTTTAGTACTGATAGTAATATTATATAAGAATTTAAAAAATTTCACTCGGAATAAAACAGAACTAACTATAGTAATATTACTATTTAGTAATATGAAACGTCTGACTAAAATTAATTTTTACTACTGTTTCTAAAAGTTCAGAAATTAATAATCATTTGTCTAACTAAAATCGTCTTTTTCTACTGATACCTATTACAAGAATTTTTAACCATGACTAAAACTTTTACTACTAAAATTACAACAGTCTAGAACATCCTTTGTCTGACTTAAACTGTATTTTTCTACTAACACTATTCTTATTTCACCGAATAAAATTAACACTTATTACGCCAATTCAACGGATATAATGAATGAAAAATTATGAAAGATTTTTTTTAAACTAATTAAAACAAGAGAAATTTTTCACGTATATTCATGACATTAAATACACTGTTAATTGCAGATGAGCCGAGTCCTTTTTCATTCTTTGTTTCTTCTCACATTGACATAGGTAATTTTGCAGACGCGACGATTATTCAGACAAGCAAACACACAGACTTATATAGAAACACACATACAGACTTATATAGAAACACACATACAGAGAGAGAGAGAGAGAGAGAGAGAGAGAGAGAGAGAGAGAGAGAGAGAGAGAGCATGCGCCGTACACGATCCTTAGAGATCCGAGATTTCAGAGATTCGTTTCTCGGTCAGATTTACATAGGAAAAGTACACAAGACACGAACCTAACTAGTGCACGCTTGCATAGAGTTGCACGCGTATACAGGAAGTTGGCAATAGGCCATCTGGGTCGTCTGATCTTCCACTCTAAAAAAATTATCATTTGCGATTTCATAAAATATAATTATGTGCCCTTTATGTCAATCAACATAAAAAGGCTTTATTCTCGAATAAAAAATTGCAAAAAAGAAAATATCTTATCCAAAAACAACTTCAATTAAAAATATGAGAAAATTAATAACCAATTTTTCTATAACAAAGTGTTCTATTACAAAAAGGACTAACTTAACATCAATATCACAATTTAAAATACCTTCTCATTATATGATGAGAATGTAATATAACGAAAAATACAAAAATTATTTTTAATTATTTCAGAAATTAGATTTTCACTGATATATTCGCAAAAGAAAGGTAATTAATAAAAGCGAGAAAATTCACAGGGGAAAGTAAATGCACCGTCTTTTTAAACGAATGCAAAAGTCAATCGATATTTCAAGATTTTTTTTTCTAACGACTCTTTCAATATATAGGAAATTTTGATCGTAAATTCTCAACTCGTTGACCCTTTTTATATGATATTTGAAAATTATGCACCAAACATAGAATTTATATATATATACAGAAATCATATTATGATCGATATGGAATTACATGAATTCTGTTCGTCATTGCGCCTCGTGAATTCTACACATCATTCAGGAACCTGCTTTAAGTGTAGAAATTCAATATACCTACTCGTGGTATTTATTCGAAAAGAGAAATAAAATTTTTAAATGTGACGAAAATAATTTAATTACTTCCAAAAAATAGTATGAAAATTTAGAAAATTTAAAATCATTATTACAGTGTGAGGATAAACAAAATTAATTATATAAAACCACCAAAAACTATATATACATATAGGTACCATCGTGTTTAACACCTTTTCGACCTGAATTTATATTGCCAATTAATCTTCTTCCCTTGAGATCAAAAGCATTGTACGAAAATTCAATCATACTGAAAAGTCAATGATTAAATTTGCATGTCACATTTATGGTAACGCATATATACATACACACATATTCTGAATCTAGCTCGAATCTAGTAAAGTTAAACGTTTATAATCTAGTTGAATGTAACAAAGTCCAATGAAAGCGTTTGAACTTTGATGTGGTACAGCCTATTGTTCTTGTCAACTATTATAACTAAATTGTATAACTCACATGGAATGGTTGATCATCATATAAAATATATATAAGTAATGGAGAGACAGAAATATTTTTAATCAATATCTATATTCGCATATGAAAATAGAACAATTTCCCCCGTTAGCATATCTTGCAAAAATTTATTTAAAAAAACCAAAAAAAAAAAATTAATAATATAAGTAAAAATCATGTTTTTTTCAAAAATACGAAAATTTCAAAAAAACTTTTTAATTATAATGAATGTGGAAGATTAAAAACAAAAATTTATGAATACTAAACAAAACTAAAAACAAAGTAATAAAAACTTTTTTAATGCAGAAAAATAATAAAACTGAGATCACAAGTTTTTTAATTTAATTAATATCTTAATAATATGACTTTCTTTTGTTAATATTTAGATGTTACTATTAGAAAGACCTTCAATACAATACAACTTTTTATAATTAACAAATCTTCAAAGTTACTATTCTTATATAACTAGAATGTAATTTATAATTATTAAAGTTATAAAATAACAATAAAACTGTGATCACAGCTTACTTAAAACTTTATAAGTTTAAATTAATATCTTATTAATTATATAAGATTATATTATTATTATATTCTCTTTATTTAAAACTTTCACGAAATTCATTTAATATTTCTAACTTGATTTTCTTCTTTTTGAATTATTGTTGAGTAATTTTGACGTGACAACAAAAAAAATTCTCTTTTTTTTGTTTGTTTAAAAGAATATAATAAATAAAAAATTGAAAAAATTACTCACATTATGGAGACTCCGATGTCCTTTAAGATGCCCTTTTTTACTCTCGCCCTTATCTTTGAAAAAAGTAACATCACAAGTCATCGTAGATAGAATCTGCAAAAAGAAAAAAAAATCATGGTTATTTACAAAAATTGCAATATTTAAAATAGATTTTAAGAAAAAACCAAAAAATTTTCCAGAAAAAGTGAAAAAAAAATGATTTAATATTCTTGATAAAAATTAAAAAAATTTCCAAAATTTTTCTCATCTTCTTTTACAGTATCATCGAAAAAGAAAGATACTCGTCATCAGCACGAGATATGACAGTAACTTTAAAACGAGCTACAGACAGTCCTAACGATGAAGAATACATGGATGTTTCATTTTATTTTCACGATGGTGAGTAACAAAAAAAAAAATTTTTTAAATCAACTAATTAAATTTGTCAATATGTATTTTTGCAATTTGTTAAATTAAAATGATACTTTTAGCTTATTTAAAAATGTTCATGAGGTTGAAAAATTTTTACTTTATAAAATTGTTTTTCTTTGCGTCGTACTACTTTCTTTTTTAAAAATATAAAAATTTTCCTTTTAATTAAAATTAAATAGAAAATTCGCTATACTTTTAAATTAACTTGTAATGTACTTTCTTTTTTTATAATATAAATCAAACTTTATTTTATTTTAATAACTCACATTATGATAAAATATTAAAAATTCGATATATTTAAAAATTTGACCATCTTTATAAAAATTGAAAATATAAATAAAAATTCTAGTTGACACATATTATATCGTCAAGTTATGTCTTTCTCTCTCTCTCCCCTTTCTCTTCTGATAATTTGAACAAGCTATAAAGGTGAACCTATAGTTCCAGATTATCTGTTGTAATTTCATGGTGACTGATAATCCTACGTTCCCACTTAAGCTCTGCTCTTTGCTAGTGTGTGCGACCCATTTAACAGAATGCTACCAATTACCTGTTACTAATTAAGGCCGAGACGTATCGACGTATTGTTGTCAAAGTGTAAGCCGCAATTGCTTGCATAGAGACACTAGAAACAGCCCACTATACCTATAAAGTTGAAAATGATTAGCTTTCAGTTCAACACGAATTGTCCATAAATTTACGGTATGATTTACCCACAAAATGATTATCAATCGCAAGACATTTTACCTCCAATTAAAAAATACAGTCACTAAGGAAATAGGAAATTTTTTTTAAGGCTGTTCTGTGTACTTAGTATTGAAAAAATATTCACACGAAGATATATGTATATAAAAAGATAAACGTTTTTTTTTTTATGTGAAATAGGTATTCCAATCAAAACGAGTATTTGAAAAATCGAGGATTAAAAAAAAAAAGAGAGGAGATTCTTTTAACGTGCGACTAAAATTAGGTCACAGTGTCAATAAATGACCATTGTGTAATGAACACATGTACATTTTCCACACTATCACATTTTGCAGAGTCAACATAATTTCTCTATTCGTAGATTGAAGCCCTAACGAACGAACGCAAATTATTACCCTCTAAAAGAACTCTTCTAAATTTCTAACATTACAAATTTATTATTTATTAATTAATAAAAATATTATATTTTATTTTTATAATAAAATAATTATCTTAAAATTGAATTTTTCATCCTCTTCAATATTATGTACACAAATGCCATGACAATAGTTAAATTGTAATTTTAGTTTTAATTAAACTTGTCTTTGAGTTTAATTCTATCTCTTCACTCTCTAATGAGTTTCAGTTTAATTGTTATTAAACTAATCTGTTAATTAATTAAGAAAATCGAAAAGAAGACAATTACTCAACGCAAAATACTATACATATATATATATATAACCAAAAAAAAAGGATATAAAAATTTAATTTAAAGTATATAAAACTGACACAATGTGCGGGAAGAGTTAAAGAGAAAAAGTAAAAAAGAAAAGAAAACAAAGACGTCTCGCGTCTGTAAAGATCTTAGACGGAGCGTGAGATAAAGCAGACAGAGACTTGGGGTTTAACACTTTTAACATGTCAATACCTAGTATACCGCTATAAGGCTTCACTTCCTATTGTTTTCGCAGTCTCAGCTTTTTTTTTTGGCAAAACAACAAAGGAAAAACTGCTCGAGAAAAGTTTTTTTTTTTCTCTTTTTCATTTGCAATAAATATGTCAGTCGAACTGAACAGAGAAACTTTCGAAACAATATCCAAAATAAAGAGTATTGAAAAAATATTGAATTTTATAAAAGTAAAATGAAAAATATTCTGGAAAAATTAAAAATTTAATTTGCAATTGAAATCAAATTAAATTTATGATTGAAAAGAAAATTAGATTCAGTGAATAATTTTCCCAATTTAATTCACAAAAATTAATTCAAAAAAAAAAAGAATATAAAAAGAAAAATTAAACAGATTTTACATTTTCAGAACGAGAAGGTGGTACACGACAACCGGAGAGTGTTTGTGATGTTGAATATTACGGCCTAACATCTCCAGCTCAGGGTTCTGTTGTTCATCCAGAATTACACAGATTATTTGGAAAAGATGGACCCGTTAAATGTCAACAAAATTTTGTCCCTTCTGACAATCAATCAGTTACAATAACGGTAAAATAGAAAATTTCTATAAATATTAAATAGTAATAAGATTTTTAATTTTTAGAAAAAATTATTGATTATAATTTTACGACAGAAAGAGGAGAAATTAATTCAATTCATTTAATTATAACTTCCATCACAAGTATAATTTAGCTTTTAATTAAATGTTTAATTAAAATTTCTATTAATTATTATCACATAGGTTATTTAATTTTTAATTTCTTTGACAAACATTATATATAACAATATTTAATGTTAAAGGTGGAAAGTTCAGAAAAGGAAATTCGCAATCATCCTTGTTCAACAGAATGTGGTGATAGTGGATGTCGATGTACAATTAGTTCAAATTTAATTAATAAAACAATGAATGAAATAGATCATTTGCTACTCATCTCTGATACTGGGCATGTTGTTCATTGCCTTTGTGGAAATTATCAAGTGAGTCAATTAATCCTAGTATTTATTCAAAAATTTTTAAATCAATAAAAAAGAAAAAAACACATTACGCAAAAAAAATTTGATTTTTGGATATAAATTTTTTTTTTACAGGGGTGGTTGCCAGTTGGCATTCGTAGTTCAACAACAGTTTCTATAGAATGGTCACGATTTTCAACAACTGGACTTTCGTTCAAAGCAGCCTACAAGTTTGCTGAAGATGTGTTTTGCAAGGATTACGAAACCACGAAACCTGAGGGCGAAGTTCATGTTGGCGATTCTATCAACAGTGGATTCAAACTTAATCAGTACTATCAACAAAAGTGCACATGGAAATTGCTTTCAACTACCAACCGTCTTCTCACCATTGAAATTGAATCAACTCAAAGTCGTAAGTTTCAATGACAACTAATCTAACACTGTACAATTAAAATTGAAGATTTGCTCGCGCACCAGTTTGCACAATGTCCAATAATAATAATTTAATTAAATTAACATTATTTTCATCTGGAAAAATAGAATTAAAAAAAAAATTAATCTAATTTTAAGACTAAAAATTCATCGAAACAACGAATATTGTAATTACTTTTGAATTTTTAGGACCGTGCACAGCATGGAACCTGACGATACATGAATATAGAAAAAAAGGAGATGGATCTACCGAAGGACCAAGACTCTATACCTTTTGCTCGAGGGATGGTTACAGAAGTTTTACTCTTCCCGAGGAAGTAAATAACGCGATAGTTAAGTGAGTTTCTTATAGCAATAGTCCACGATTAAGCTTCACTTCGCCTTAATTTCTTGCACTGAAACCAACCTAACGACAGTTTTACGACAGTTTCACAATCGCGGTTTTGGTCGCAAAGTTGCTACCACAAGTACAAATGCGATTCAGTATACACCAATGCGATTGTAAACTAAAGTCCCTGCGCTAAATTATCCCTCTCAAGTATAAAGTTTTCAGTTCGCAAATAATTATTTATGAAAACTTTTCGCAATTAATCAGGTATTTTTTTGAAAGTGAGAATTTTTTTAATTATTTCCATAAACAATTAATAAATAATTATTATCTTAATGAAATAAACATTCATTAGCTAATTAGATCATTTCTCAAATAATTAATTATATATTTGTAATTTTTATTTAAAAAATTTAATTGAAATTTTGATAACACTAATGGAATTACAAATCTTTTTTCCAGATTACAAGCATTAGGAAGAACAGCACCCCAGTATGTAATGAAATGGAGAAGTGAAAAAAATTCTTCACACAATCGAAAGCATGGTGAAACACCTGGTATAAGTCACATACCACGAAGCTCAACTGGAATTAAAACTACTTCCGGCAATTTCATTATAGCTTTTCTAATTGGCTCTATTACTTGTTTACATTATAAAATAGTGTGATTAGAAGAAGAAAAAAAAAATATTGTCCAAATTGTAAAATAAATGTACAATAGAAAAAAAAATTTACCTAAAAAAAATTTTTTTAAACTAAAAAACAAATTTTCTTTCAAAAAAAAGAAATGTTTTTTAAATTTTTTCTTTTAATATAATTTTTTTTTTGTTTTCTTTTTAAGAAAACATTTTTACTAGATATTTAATAAGAATATTTGTAAAGTAAATATTAAATCACCACAGTAGCTATAATAATAAAGGGACGAAATTATGATATCACAGGATTTTGCGCACTTAAGAAAATTGCAATCAGTTCTCTAAACAGTTAATGTTTACAATATTAACTTTTTGTAAATTTTTAATTTGTCAATATTTATAAAATTGCACAAAAATATTATTAAATTATTTTAAAAATTCAAGTTCAATGATAATACATCGAGACTAAATTTAATTAATAATTATTTATTATTAATATTGATTATTAATTAGTATTATTGTTCTTTAATGATTTAATAAGTTATTAAAATTATTAACATACGTTAATTGTTTTATTTGTAATTGCAAAAATAATTACTGCTTCTAAAAAATTACATAGAAAATTAATTTTTTATTAGATTACAATTTTAAAAAATACTCTACACAATTTCTAACCGTCCTTTAAATTAATAATTTTTACAACTTAAATATTATTTCCTTTAAGTCATTCATTTTATGTTTTCTAGTCTAAATGTTATTTCTATAATTTAAAAATCAAAATTGCCCAAGACAAAATTAAAGAATAAAAATGAAAAAATATTTCCGAAAATAAACAAAACACGATTTTTACGAAAATTAAAAGGCATTAAAATAAGCTGCAACGCTTATTATTTTAATCCAATTTTGCTTATTTTAATACCAAAATTGATTAAAATAAGCAAAATTGGATTAAAATAATAAACATTGGAGCTTATTTTAATGCCTTTTAATTTTCTGTGAAATTAATATTCGAATCATCAACAATAAATTGCAATTATTTTATATTTAAATATTTCAATCTTTTCAACAATATTTCAAATCAATTTTTTCGTAAAATTCTGCTCAGTATTGTGAAAAAAATAAATATATAAATTTAACGAATGTACAAACCTCGTAAGATAGTAGAATTTGTACAGAAAACATTGAATTATTGTTATATGAAAACATAAAAAAAGCCGAGGTGAAATTGTAAAGTAACATAAAAAATAAATTGTATAATCATAAAATTTTATAGATAGTTGAAGAGAATGTATTTTACGAAACGAGCTTCGTGTGCGTAAAGCACCCTCAATATAATGTAATGCACTTGATTATCGTCCAGAATTGTAATTGTATTTATCAAAGAAAAAAAAAGAAAAAAATATGTAGAAATTGAAAAATTGTTTTTGTTTTTTAGAAATTTTCAATTTACACTCCAATAAAAGAAAGTGGTTTTTTAAGCAAATTTATATATCCATTTCTGACTATGTTTACAATATTAAATTTAATGAAACTTTTTTATTCCATTATCGACAGATAAAATAATATAAAAACTAGAAAAGTCAATTATACATAGTAATTAAAAAAAAATGGAATGCTCAGAAAGTTTTAAGCGCGATAAATTTTAGAACAATTTATATTATAACTTTAAATTGCATAAAAAACATTAATTATATAAATTAAAAATTTATTTAAAACAAATGATAAAAGTTATTAAATAAAAATTACAAAGTCTTTTTCTAGAAATTATAAAAAAAAGTATTTTGAATTTTATTCATAATTCTTAAAGATCATAATAGTTAATATTTTTTGATATAATTAATTTAAAAAGATAACAAAACGGCAATGTACGACAATGAATGATTATATATAGGAATAATTTTTTTTTTCTCTCTCTCCAAATATGACATAGTCAGTTGTGGAAAACAAGATAAGTTTTTTTTCTTTCTAAAAAATATTCTAAAAATTCTAAAAAAAAAAAAAAAAAAAAAAACTATTCTTCAGAATTAATTATTATTCTAAATTCTAAATAAGGATATGTACAAATTTGTACAAAATCCTTGAAGATTCTATAATATTATATTCAATCGCTGATGTAAATATATAATTTTAATTTAAAAATTGACTATTGTGTCAGTACAAAAGAACTATTCTGGTGGATGATTGAATTATACGAAAATTTGATTACATTTAAATAACATCAGATTTCAGGGACAATTTTACTGATATATAATAATAATTGAGTATGTATTATTTAACTTCTCATAATATATGATTAATGTACGTATTTATATAAATAAATATATTACGAATAACGAAAAAAAAAAGAAACAGAAAATAAGAAAACAGGAAAATAGACACTGAAATAATTCAATAATAATAATAATAATAATAATAGCATTAGTTATAATAATAAAAAATAAGAATAATAATAAGAATATTAAATTGTTGTAAATATATCGATTTGAATAATAATGGAGAAAAAGAATTTCGAATCAAGAAAGAAAAAAAGTGAATTAATTCACTTTATTTGTGGATTCTTTAACAATGTAAATAGTATAGAAATGTTTTGAATGAATTGAAAAGACACTTGATAAACTCATTTTTACAAATAAATTTACAAATCTCGACTTACTGGAATACGAAAAATTATTTACAATCATATTTAATGCCTAATTTTTAGCTTTTAATTATAATTTAATGCAAGTTCTGTTAAAATATATTCAATCTATCAATTTAAATTCTCAAATTTAATTTTAATTCATTAATTATTAATATTTATATTAATATAATTTTATATAAAAAATATTATGTAAAAATATACTAATATTAATAATTAATTAATCATTCTTCATTAATTTTATTAACATTATAAAATATTTCAATATTTAAAGTGAATTTACATTCGAATAATTGTCGAGGCGCAACTAGAAATATGAAACAATTTGTTACAACAGACATAGTTATATATAAATATAGAACTATATTTATTGCAAAAAAAAAATATTTTATTTCCACGCAAAGTTAAAATATGGAATTAATTTTGTAATACCTGTTCTATTTTTATGTTACTCTTTAAAAATGATGTTACTGATGTTACTTTTGTGAAATTATTTTCTATTTGCGATATATATATATATAAATATTATTAAATATATCGATTTTTTAATATCGGTGATAAACGAGTGAAAAATGATATAATTGTACTTATTTTCATTAAAAAACAAATAAATATGAATAACACAAACTAAGTAAAGTTAATGCAACTGTTACTGTTCCAAATACATAAATAATGGAAATATTTATGTATAAGAAAATTATTTAATTACATATTTACAAGATAAAGATAATGAGAAAATTATTCACTCGCAAAATTTTATTTTAATAACATATCAATGATATCTTTTCAATGTTCAGGAAATATTTAAATATACTTTTAATATTGTTTCTGAAAAAATAAACAATAATTATATTAATAATTAATTACATTGTTTTTATGTATTATTAACGATAATAAAGTATTAAAGATAATATACTACTAATTTATTAATTAAATAATAATAGTAAGTATATTATTTGTAATATTTAATATAAATTATATTTCTGCAAAAAGTAGAAAATTTTTAAAAAATAATATATACTTGACATAAAACAGAATATTTTCTCATTATCTATATTGTAAATTATTTTATATATGCACGATTTAATGGACTTATATTTAGTATATTTTGTAAATATACTGAATATCTGTAAAATTGATGAGATATTTATTATTTTGTGTAGGATAAATGTAATGTAATAAGCCAATTTACACAAAACAAAAATACGTTATTGAATAAATCGTTTAATATAATATTGTTTTTATTTTAAAAATAAATATCCTCCCTAACCATCATCCTTCTTCCCCTAAAATAGCTTGAAAAATTTCTACTTTTTAATCTCAATTTTCCTAATAATAAAAGCTCCAATTGTATACAGAAACGATCAGTACGACTATAATAAAACAACCCCCTAATTAGCTTCAACGACATCTTAAAAATTTTCTAACGATTTTTTAATAAAATAAATATCAAATTATTCAGAAAAAAAACCAACAAGACATAAAAAACTTCGGATAATTCAAAATCGAAACAAATAGATGTAAATAAATATTTTAAAATAAAATAAAAAATTTTGGAAAATTTACATAGTGACAAAATGGATAAAATATTATCAAAAATCAATTATTTTATAATAATAAAATTATAAATTAATTTACATAATTTTAATTATTAAATAATTGACTTTCAATAAAATAATTCAATACCTTTATTAAACCTGTAAGAATAAGATTAATAAAAAACATCCTACTCTGGATTAAAATTTTATAATCTAATTATTAATGAATTACTATTATTTAATTATATTTTATAATTATATTTCATTATTTTCTACTGAAAAAGTAGAAAATAAATTTTTTAAAAAACTTTTCAAGCCAAAGTTCGAAAGTTTATAATCAAGAATAATTTTTATTATTCGAAAATAGAAAATTTTAAGCAAATTACAACTTTTCTTGGTCTATATAAAACAATACGTGAAACAAAGATTTAATAATTACAAAAATAAAATTTAATTCTCAAAAATTAAAAAAGTAAAAAAAAGTTCCAGAAATGTTGAATTCTAATCTAAGCAATGTAAGAAAAAACATCCACTAGTTAATTAAATAGATTAAAAATAATTTCAAAAAAATTATATACATTAATCGATTTAATTGTTGCCACTATGAAATTTTTCTAATTTGTTACAACTTGCCTTCGGCAAAAGTTTTATGAAGACAAGAGGGACTTACAATTTTTTTTTTGAAGATTTCTCTGCGTTTTGAAGAGATGCTCTGCGATCGCTTCATCTCGAAGAACGTCTAAATGATTGTCTTCTTGTTGGTCTATATTTTTGAGTCAATTTCCAAAGATTTCCAATTTCCAACAAAAACTTATCTGGAAAGTCGATTTCTCTCTCGATTTTTCTTGTTTCTTCTCTGAAAATTTAAGAAATATGTTAAAAAATTATTTGCAATAAATAATATATAATAATTATAATATAATTAACAATAAATCGATCGAAGTCTATATTCAAGTAGACAAATTAAATTTTTGATTGTGTTCTAAACTGAAAATAAATATTTACAATCATCGTTTCATTTTTTTTTAATAAAGGACTTACCGATTGAGAATTCCCACGTCAAAGTAATTGTCTAGTTGTGAGAGCAGATGTCTCTTCACGAAAAGTGACTGGAAATTGTATTTTATTTCCTGAAAAAGAAGTTCTAAATAAATAAAATTGTAAGAGCTGAAAAAATAAAAAAAAAATTTATGGATTCCATATCTAATCAATAGAAGAAATTTTATCAAACTAATTAATTTTGTAGATAGATTTTAATAAATTGAATACTAATTTTTGCGGAAAAAAATTTTACCATCGTCTGATAACTCTTTAAGCAGAATTTTTATTGAAATTCTATGATCTTAAAAAATAATCGAATATTTTTCGAAAATAATTTTTTAATTATCAGATAGTTTAAAATAGTTCAATAGCAAATATAACCTCAAAACTAAAAATATTTTTACTAAGAAAAACAAAATATACATTTGAATATATATATTATATATTGTTTCCTTTAATATAAAATTTTTCCATTTTTGAGGTTATGTCTTATAGCTGATATCGCTAATGATAATTGAATATCTTAATATTTGAGAAAAAATTGTATTTTTTAATTAATCAAAACTTACAATAAGATATTTATTCATTATTTTGACCGATAATGTAATATAAATGGAAGATTCATGAAAAAATTCCATGAGCAAAATCTTTCCTGCGCCAATGTTACGTATTTCAGATTTTACAATATATTATCTTACCTATTAATATGTAATACATATTTTCACTGCCTCCTAAAAACCAGCTCAAAAAATTGTACAAAACTAATATAACAAGTACAGGAAACTCAATAATTAAAACACAAAATGTTATTTCGATTGTGCTTGGACGAGTCCATGTTGCGACGAAAGCACAAAATGGCGTCCATTGTCGCCACTTGCATATATAACCACTATAGTCAAATAAAAGTTTTTTTTTCCAAAAAATCATCCAAAAATGAAAAAAAGGAATAATACTACTCAAAATATTATAATTGTTTCGTATTTGATGGCAAACAATTATAAAATATGATACAAATCAAGAGAAACGAAAATCGAATGGACGATGCATTTGCAACAATGGACGATAATGAAAAAATGCCATATTTGACAAGATTATACGAAAAATATTATTCTCTTAATCTCAAATTATTGATAAATACAAAAATATTACAAGAAATAATAGGATGCTTACCAAATTTGAAGAGAAATTGGAGTTTACTGCGGAGCTACATGTTGCCAGAGGGAAAATTTTCTCACAAATGAATTCCACTTGGGGTCATGTGACTTCCGCATATTTTCTCGTTCTCTGATTGGCTACGACGACACCACGTGATTTTCAAATTTCCAATTTATTATTAATAAATATTTGTACTTAATTACATTTACTTTATTATAATTACTTAATTCTTGAGTTCTATTAGCCGATAATATATCAATAAATAGTCTAATTAATATTAACACTGTATTTATTTTGTGGGAAAAATGATAATAGTTTTAGAAATGCTCTGTCTGTATAAAATCAATCAACCAATGAAATGCTTAGTACTAAAAAACACTCGTGCAATTCAATTGGTTGAAATTTTGCACGTGATGAACAAACCGGAAGTGCATTCAAATTTAAAATATTTAAATAACTCATGTTAGCGTATATATTATTGAAATAGATAGAATAATTTTAATTTAACTAACAAATATTTTGTTTAAATAATAAAACAATTTCAGTATAATAATTTTTTATAGAATTGAATAATAAAATAAACATAATAATAAATAATAATTAAATTATGTTTATAAATAATTATTTTCAACACTACAAAAACTACTGTTTTATTGAAATTGTAAAAATGTGGAATTTTTATTGAAAAAAATACAAAAATAAATTCATAAGAATTCCAAAAAATTATTGTTGTTTAATATTTGCAAATAAAAATAATTTTCTTTATTAAAGAAAAAAAGGATTAAAATCAATAGGATGACACGGTATAACAATTTTTATTGATTATAACACTGGAAATATGAAGAATATAATTTTCGATGAAATATGATAATTCATGTTACAAATTTTGGATTATGGTAGCTATAGATCTACGAATCGTTTGATAAAAATTGATAGGACTAGATTTTCACGCGTTTCCAATGTATTTTCTTTTTCTTCCTTTTTTTCAATTATTATACTAATGCAATAATTAAACAATGTTGAGAAAAACTTTATAATTACGTGTTATAGTTTCTTTTTCTTTTTTTTTTTTGCTAACAAATATGAGCATTTGTACAGCAACAAATCAACAAAAATATATAGATATCAACGTATTATAAAGTACCTTCGCTTTAAAATCTCTGATATTTTTTTAGACTTCGTTTTCGACGATTTTTATCATATTATCCACAAAAATTTGATTGTCTCCTTTGACCTTCCATTAATTGAAAAAACAAAATTGCAAAACAAAAAAATACATAGCTTATAAAAGAAAAAAAAGAATGATATTTTTAAACATCTTTTTTTTCTCTTTATTTCGATATGATAATTCGATCGATTTGATTTAACGATCCAATTTGATTTTTTCTGATATTCTACGACTCGTAATTTTAGAATCAAGTCAAGCAAAAACTTATTGAATGATTTTAAATTAAATATGCTATGAATAAATACTAACAATTTTCGGTAAATTATATAATAGAGACGATAAATTAATGGTTATCTAGTAAAGCTACATTGAAAATTGTTTACATTTAAAAAACCATCTTTTTGATTTTTGCCTGTCTTGATTCTTTGGCATTATTTTTAATTCTTCAAAAATTTACAACATACTTTGAATATATGTAGTTTTTGTAAATTCGTTTAACAACGAATTAAACGAGTGTTATCTTTTTTTTTTTTGTGAGTGGAAATCTTAAGATGTTGAAAACTAATTTCCTTATTTTATAATCTTACGTGTCGATGTCGAGTAACAATTTACAGAGGTCCACTTAAATATATATTTATATTTATATATACTTTAGATTACACATTTCGTTATCATTACAAAGTTATCTTAATTTTAATTTTACCAATAATATTGCTATTGGGGATTCGTAAAAATTTAATATACCTTACTAGATTTTTTTTTGTTAAACGCGTAATAATAGTATACATCTTGAGGAATGAAAACGAAGATATGTGAATTGAGGATTCAATGGGATCCTTTTTTGTCAAAAGCGAGCAACGCTCTTAGAAAATCATTTTTTTTTTTTTTTTTTTAATAAAAGTTTTTTAATTACTTTTCATTTACATTCTATTTATTGACAATTAATTTCTACAATTTCACGAATTTTCAAATTCTATTGTCGTTGCTCGCTTTCCATTATCGACATACGTAAAGAACATTGACTCTTTACTTTAGAAAAAGAACTCTTCAATTTGTAAATTGATAAAAATAGTAGAGTAAAATAAAAAGTTTTTTTTTTTAATTAGTAAAATTTTCTTTCTTTGAAAAATAATTTTTTTTCAGAAAAATAATGTTTTCAGAAAGAAAATTTTCTTAGAAAAAAAAGTACCTTTTTTTTGTAAAGTTTTTCTTTATTTATATCAGATTTTTGTTATTTTCAATAAATATTAAATCTTTTAAAATATGAATAAAATTTAAAAATAAATAAATAATTTAAATAAAGTTTAAAAAAAAAATTAATTGAAAGTTTAAAAATTGAAGAGTCCTTTTTTCCAAGTTTATTTATTAAATTCTTACGCGTTATCTTAAATGTATTTTTTTTTTTGAGTCTTAGAAGAAAGAGGTTTAACCTAGTTGAGCATAATTTGATGGCTAGAGCATCCTGCCTGTGGCTCTTTGTGCGGGAAGGTAGGAATGCTTCTTAGCTGATTGTAAACGATTTGGTCCACGCTGCTCGAGCGAACGATATATATATTAATCGAAGCCCAATCTTTTTAAGAAGAGACAAATTTCCTCGAATGTTGGCCTCTCCTCAGCATGCTTGCTCCAGCATTTGGTCATCATATGATACAGATCCCTGGAACAGCATGGAGGCTGAGAAAGTATCCGAGGTTGACTCTTCTCCACGGTTCCACTGTGATACCACTTGCTGCAATTTTCCAAAACCTGCTCCGATGTAAAATCAGAGTAAGGCATGTCCTTGCAGAGAGTAAGAATCTCCCAGACCGTGATAGCGTAGGACCAAACATCAGCTTGAGAAGTTTGTTTTCCCTAAAAAGAAAAAAAATCTTATTAATAAATTTGTTCGTTTAATATTTAATTTTCGCTAATTTTAATTAATTACAAAACTATGAATTAGGAAATTTTATTTCAAAATTGTTTTTAAAAATAAAAATGTTTTTTGTTTGTAAATTTTTTTTGGAAAACTCACCAACAAAATTGCCTCCCATGCCATCCAGCGAAGAGGTACTTTCGCGTAATATCCATTTACGTAATACTCTTGATCGTACTTGCTACAGTACATGGCGTGGTCAGACACTTTTAATATTAAGTTTTTACTCACAACACAATTTCTGAAACAAAACATTCTATTACTTTTTGTCATTAAAGAAAAACAATAAACAAGTTACTTTATTTTACTAACAAATATTTTATTTTTACTCAGAAATTACTAAATTTTCATTACACTAAACCAATTTAAAAAAAAAAATAAAAAATAACATTTGTAATGTAAACAAATTAATTAATTATTCAATTGCTGTGAATTATTAATTTTTTGTTTACCGAAAAACAGTAAAGTGGAAAATGTTGTAAACGTCATGAAATTGTAAATCTGAAGCAAGTTCATTAGATTTATTATGCTATCCGACTATATATGCATAAAGTATAAGACTGACCGAACTTTGGTTCGCAAACCGTACAAGATGGAAGTCGAAACTTCCATCCATATTTTATACGGCTTCCCTACCATAAAGTGTCAAGATTAAGGATGCTCAGATCTAGAGTTTCGGCGGAGAAATTCTGCTTTTGCAGTAAAACCGCTTTTGCAAACTTCGTGGCTTAGAGGGAATTCTAAATAATGTAGTATACCTATATAGAATATGTACAATGGACTTCAAAGACTGTTTTGTTCTGATCCTTTTCAAAAAAAAGAACAAAAATATTATTCGCGAATAAACGAAAAAAAACGAAAAATTGATAAATTTTTCCAAAAAATCGTTCTCTTACCTCGCTGCTAAATCGCAATGGGGAATATTCAAATTTTCCAAGTACTTCATTCCTGAAGCTATTTGAGTCACAAAGTTCAGCTGACACGCATAACTGTTGAGAAAGGAAATAATTTTTTTTAAATTGATGTCGAAAATTTTTTTTTAAACAAAGAAATTTTAATTTAAAAAAAGAAAATTACCTTATAGGCGCATCCTCACTGGAACTTTCCCGATTTTTTATAAACGATGGAAGATCACCAAGTTCTCCATATTCGAAAACTGCTCCAAATGGTTCCTCCTCCACTAATGCTATTATTCTAGCTACATTAATATCCCGGATGGCTGCCAGGACATGCATATCCTTCATGAAATCTTTCCTATAAAAATAAATCAAATAATTAGAATTAAAATTTTTAATTTTATTTTTCACAAAAAAATTAATTTAAATAATTAAATTAAAATATTTAATTTAAAAGGAAAAAGCGGCTACTTACTTTAAGGAGTCAGTTACCCCTCGCCATAAAGATCTTACTATCACGACTTGTCGATTACGAACTGAATTTAAATCTGGGCACTGAATTCCTTTCGCCTCACATAAATGTACCTGTCAATCAATAAATAGATTAATTTTTATGAAAATGTAACTGTGAAATAGTCACAATATATTTAAATAATATATTTCGATTCCTACCAATCCAAAACTTCCTTCGCCCAATTTATCCATAATTCTCAGCCTGTGTCTCGAAACATGTTGAATATTATAAGAATTACTTGTATTCGATAAATGAATACCATCTTGAATTTGAAGAGGAGTGAATAAACTTGAAGTAGATCGTTGTTGTCTTCTCTTAATCTAGAAACAATTACAAATAATATAAAAAAATGCAAAAAAAATTGCTTTATTTGATTTAAATTTTCACTTACTGTTAAAATATCCGTGGCAGCATAATATCCTTCATGAACTTTAGGATTTGTTTTTGAATGTCTCTTATTAGAAAATGGAGTTGATGTCAATTCATCTTGATAGTTTCTTTCATTTGTAAAATCTGTAACGTCTTAAAAAAAGAATCAAGTGAATTTGTGTGAAAATTTTATTTTCATTTAATTAAATTGTTTAAATAATTATTATTTTCGAATTTCTATATTCTAAACTAACTGTTCAATTTTCATTTTTTTTTAATCTGATAAATTTCTGCTATAAAAAAAGAACGATAAATTAAAATTTTTTTTATATCTACCAGAAAAATTTAGCTTCTCTTTTCTCTTTTTTCCCCTATTAAATCTCTGTTTAAAAATCAATTGAAAAAAAATGCATTCTCACCACTATATTCGCTTTTACAAGCGGAATAATGATCGCCTTTGTGTGATGCTGGCTCATAGGCAAGATTTTCTTCGGAAAAAAGTTTATAGGTCCTTTCATAGGCACTGCAATGTTCGTATTCGCTATTTTGATCACTACTTCTAATAGTGTTGTCATCACTAAAAAAGCCTTTACTTTTTATCGAAAGCCTCGATTGTGACAAGCCATTGACAACAATTGGATTGGCCATTTTAATATCTTTCATATTGATTGTAATACCAGTTTTTGGTGAACCACAAAGTAATGCTGTATGCTTTTGAAGGAGGGCAACTTTATTGCGTCCTCTTTGTTTCATCAAGAATACTGTACATGTCAACAATAAAGCCCCAACTGTCAATGCTCCGCTTATAAGTCCAATGTATGTTTGAGAATTGTTGATTGGGAAGGCATCAGGTGTCAAATTAGGTTTCACATCAGAGACAGTTTCATTGATGAAACTATTTGATTTGTCCATTGTCTCATTTGATTCCGATTCATTTTCACAAGCACGGAAAAATTGTTCCGATGCATCTGTTGTGCCATTACGAGCAGCTGAAAAATAATTGTTTTTATTTTTTATTTTTTTGATATGAACATTTATTTTGTTTTAGAAAATTATAAACGTTACTCACTTGCAGGTATTGCACAAAGTTGAATCTTTCTGGTTTCGAAATTGACTTCGCTTATCATTAACCATTTGGATTTTTGTTTCAATTCTACTTTAATAAATTTGGCAACTCTTGAAAGTAACGGAATTGATACACTGATTGAGCTTGTTTTGATTTCTTCTGTCAGTTCTATTTTTTCTGGATTGGTTTGGTATTGAAGGCCATCAAACGAAAACCAGACGAGTGCCGAGGAAAATATCTGAAAAAAGGTTTTTTTTTTTTATTAAATTCAATATCAATTTTTAATAAAAAAAAACTATTTTAATAAAAACTAAATGATTAAAAATAAAATAAATTTCAAAAAATATAAAAATTAGTTAAATAGAAATGAAGAAAAGTATTTTTTTCTAAAGAAATCAATTATTTTATAATATTTTAAGATTTAGAAAAAATGTGTTCAAACTGATATCACGTAAGGAAGATTGATCTAACGAATTTATTCCTAAAAGTCAATAAAGTTTTAACCTCATCAATCACATTTACGCGATTTTTCGTTTATTGAAGATATAACTCTTGATTAAGAGTAAGAAAATTAGTCCTAAGTAAATTTGGCTCTTTTCCAATAAAAAAAAAAAAAAAAAGAAGAAGAAGTTCCTCTCAATATCCATCAATCAAGTGAGTTTACTCGGTATTTCTTGATAGGCTCGAAAAGTAAAGGTTTACCGTTGAAAAGGCTTCGATTCTATCAAGAAGTTCCTCGATTTCATCGCGAAACATCAATTCTATTATACCTAATTTTATTTCAATCTGATATAACAAATATTGAATTGGTTTTTTTTTCTTTATTTACTTATTCTTTGCTTGCGCAATATTTTTCAATTGATTTTTTGGCTTTTACAAAAGAATCGAAATCGGTTCAATTTGATAACACCAAAAAAAAAAAAATAGGAGACTTTTTTTTACGATAAAATTATTCTCGTCACATTTGGTTTTTATGCCCTTAGCTGTTGGTTTTCTCAATCTAAACATCAATAATTCAAAAATGGATTGTAATAAAAAAGTCTATGGAATAAAAGAAGATGAGATAACACGATTGAGGCTTGTAAAAAATGTACACAGTAAACATTTACATGGAATTTAAAATTTATTGTTTCATTTCAAAGATATTTTCATTTTCAAATCAAATTTTGAATATTTTATTTTGCCTGCGGTGATTTTTGACGAAATTTGATTTTGAATATCAGATTTAATGTTTTTTTTTTTTATTTATTATTTTATTTTTCTTCTTTGCATTTAGTTAATTCAATTCTATTTAAAAGTTAGTAATGGGAAATTAAAAAGAATTTATAACAAGTTGTAGAGAATTTAAATATGAAGTTGAAAAACGAGTAACTTTTAAACTTTTAAAATTAACATGATTTAAATTTGAAAAAAATCCGTTTTATGAAAGTAAAAAAGAATTAAATTTTAATCTTTTTAAATTACCCAAGCCTGAATTAACAACTTTGAAATTAAGAAAACAAAAATTAACTTTACTAAAATAATTAGTTATAATCGCAAATGAATTAATTCTTAATATTTTTTTTTCCAAAAGAAAAATTGAATAAAATTTTAATATTTAATTCAATAATTCAAATTAGATTTTTTAACTCTTAGCAAAATTTTTCAAAAATGAATTAATAAAAATTTCATTTGATAAAATTTTATTATAATTAAATTTTGTGTTAAAATGAAAGTTTTTCTAGTGAGAATTTCCATGAATATAAAATTGAACGTTGGGGAGATTTAAAGTGAAGATGAAGTTGTTTATGTTAATGAACTGGGGAAATATTTCTATTTTTTTTTTCTTTTGAAAAAAATTTCCCTAGAAACTGTATGTGTGGGAAAATGAATTATCAGGATATTTTTAAAATTATCTCCTTTTTTCACATTTGAAAAAACGGACACTTTAATGTAAGTTACTTGTAATAAAAATAAAACTTAGATTACAAATTTATAACCAACCTCGACCTCCTTCTTTGGAACATGAGCCACGTGTATCGTACAATTTTCAAACTCCCGGAAGTCATTAAATTCAAAGATTATCTCGACTTTCTCGAGATTATTCCATCCAACCCAGTTCGTCGAGGACGAGGAGACGAGGATTTCAGGATCTTCGCCAATGATCCCGTCTATGAGCTGTCCAAGTCCATCCACCATTAAATCATCCCTCTCGCTTCCATCATAAGAAGTGTCTTCGAGATTCCATCCATCAGGACCAAATGTCTCTCCTTTGGGAATTATATATCTCACTATTCGTTCTGCAATGAATAATTATATTATTTTTTTTTTTATTTTCAATCAAACAATATTCTAGATAAATTCGAAAATTACACAAAAAAAATTAATAATTAATTATTGTGTATTATTAAATGTTTTTGTTCTAAGAAAAAAAAAAAGAAATACTAAAGAAGAAATGTTCCTTGTGCGATAATTTATCGAATCGTTGGAAATTTAATTATTCTCACATTCCAAACGATTTTTCACGTTAGCAAAAAAAAAAAAGAAAAAAAAACAGAGAGAACGAAAGAAAGAAAGCGAGTTGATGAATTGGTTTCAATACTTTGGTCGAAATTAATTTATGGAGGGTTGCAAGCGATTCGATTATTATTAATTTTAAAAATATTAATGGCGTTAATCAAAATGTCCGATGATATATATTTTCGAATTTTGTTTCCGCAGATTAAATAGCAAGGCGTACCTTCCCAGACACATCCATAAATCTCCACCCTCATACAAACGGTGCGTGGGTGCTGACTATAAGGGACGAATCGTACTCTACTAGCCACAAAAGGGAGATCCAACTTCTGTTTCTCCACAAGATATGTATTGCTGTTCCCTCGTAAGATCTAAACATATTTTTCATGATTAATGTCTCTTGATGTTCTTGATGAAATACAAAAAATCCCTATACATGTACACAAAAAAAAAAAAACAAGAAGAAATTCTTTTTCCGCTAAACAATTGTTCAGACTAATTGGTATCCAAGCACGAAACATCAACCACCCTATAAAAGGGGACGAAAACAGGGATTAATAAGCTTTCGTTACACTGACATTTTTTTTTCATCCTTTACTTAATGTTTACAAAGTATAATTAATGAACAGGGAAATAATTTAATGAAAACAGAAAAATAAAATTTCAGAAAAATTGAATTACACTATTTTTTTTCCAATCTATTTTATTTATTTAATTTTAATCGATTATTGTAATTATATTAATTGAACGTTGAGTGCCGAATATGAATTTAATTTTGTGAAGGAAATTTAAAAAAAAAATTTTTTAACTTACTTTGTCTCCTTTTAGATTTTTATAATGATGCCAATTTGAACCTCGCCAATATTCTAGAGAAAAAGATTCCGCATATTCCTGTCCTTGACCATTTCCAAAACGACCTTGTGTTTCTGTCCAGGTAATTAAATGATCCTGTGTTAAATCAACTTCCAAAAATTCTCTCACGTCACCACTAATTTGGGCCTTTGGACACCAAGCACCGCCGTTCTTCTCCTGGCGAATTCTAAAAAAGTAAATAAATAAATTAATATTTATGAAAATTTTTTTATATACATAATTTTTTATATTTTTTTTATATACATAATTTATAATTACTTGTGTAAAATATAGTTATACTAATTATTTTGTTTATAAAAAAATAATAACACAACAAAAATTATTCGAAATTAAAAAACGAAAAAAAGAAAATATACTTAAGAAATACCATTTTAATTGTATTTTCAACATAACAAGAATATAAGAAAAAGAATTATTGTATAAAATTAACTCGTATCTTGTATTTAATTTCCTTTTTGGGTTTTAAATCAAGTCTACCGGAAATTAGTCTATACACAGGGGCACGGTTATGATGATTAAAGTTAAAAGTAGAAAAAAAAATTCCAAAACCGAAGTGACTAGTTTAAAAGACTTTTGAGAAATAAAAGAAAAAAAAAGCAGATAAAGTAAATAATGGTTTAGTGCTTTAGAGGGATAACTCTGTAGACATAAAAAATTGCTTTCAGATTGTTTCACGCAAAGGTTCTTCCAGATCAGTGAACCAATCCCTTTTTTTTAAAACTCTCTCTCTCTCCACTTTTTTATGAAACAAAATTGTTTCACAGAATCAAAGAATCACTCATATAAAAATACATTTTTAGATAATTCTTTTTTTTTCAGAAAAAAAAATACTTTTTTTAAATTGGTTTTTAAAAAAATATATATATATATAAAGATTAATACAAGGCATTATTCTCATACTGAAGGAATTGTGAAAGTCAGGAAAAGTGTACGCCTTTGACTAAATTAATAAAGTTCTTCTAATTTTATTTTTTTCGCCTGCTTAGTTTAATTCTCTTCCGGCGTCAAATAAGGAAATAATGAAAAACGCGTGTGCTGTGAGTTCGTTGCAGTCTCAAATAATCGCTTTGTAACACGAGAGGCTAAATTAGAGTCAGATTTTTTTTTTTTTTTTTCCCCCGAACGAATTTCCTTTGAGGAAAACAATAAAAAAAAGGAGAAAATTCACAAAGGTTAAAAACGAAAGTAAAATTACAAGAGTAATGGCAAATAAAATGCTTTTTTCTTGAAAATTTTTTGTTACTTATGAGAAATCTTCTTTGTCTACTATATTCTTTTTTGTTTTCTTATTTGAACTAATTTTTTTTTTTACGAAATACTTCTAAATTGAAAATAACAGAAGTTTAATTAAAACTTTTGAACAATTTTATTTATTTTATATAAAAAAGAACTTTTATTTTCTAATTGTAAGATAAAAAATAAATAAATTTACTTTTCAAAAAAAAAAAAATTAATTACTGTAAAAGAATTTAATTAGAAACAATTTAAATTTATTTCTCTCATGAAAATGATTTCGATTATTTTCCTAACTTTTGAATCGATATAGAATATTTGGTCCAGTGTATATATAATGAGTTTTGTCACTATGTACCACATGTTCTTAATGTCTTCGAAGGAAACTGTTTATCGTGTCAATATAAAGGAGCTAATATCCATTATCCATAATTTCGCTTAATAAAATGTCATTAAGTAAAAGCATTTTCAACTGACAGCATCTTGGTTTAGTGAAACTCTTTTGACTTTGCTTTTAACATAGTGTTTATAAGGGAGGAATATGCCAGTTATAATTTTCATTAAGAGGATGAGAAAATATACCTCGCATTTTGCGGACCGACGGACTTCATCTCGTAACTAGAAGAAGCCGTTATTGCATCGTCCGGAATTTTTCCCTCCTCCATGCCAAGAGGATGTAAACACTGTCCTGAAATCAGATTAAATGTGAAATTTTATCTAATTATTTTTTGTTTTTGTTTTTTTTTATCAATATACAACTAAAACAAGATAAAATATTTTTTTTTTCTCTAAAAATATCATTTTCTTATTTAATTATTTTATGAAAATTTCCCTTGGAAATTTATTGTTTTAGAATTAAAAAACAAATTTTCTTTTTTTTTACTTTTTTTTACAGGCACACAAAAAGTAAAATGTGGTTTGGCAAAAAAAAATTTCTTTGAGCTAAAATCGCCAAAAATTGATAAAAATTCTGAATTAGGGGCACAGATAATTTTTTTTTGCCGAAACACTACGATAGGACATTTTCATGTATTTTTTCACGCTGAATCCGAATTCGAAGTCAGAATTGACAGATTGGCTCAAATTTTGAAGATAATTCCAAAAAACTGATTTTGAGTATTTTGAGTTTTTTGTTACTTGCGTTTTTTTGCAATTATCTCAAAAATTTGAGCGAATCTAACAATTCGGACTTTGGATTCGATTTCAGCGACAAAAAATACATGGAATTACACTATCGCAGTGATATTCAAAATTTTTTTAACTTTTTGATTTTATTTTTCTTTCTGAGCAGTTTTTTGAGTTTATCTCAAAAATAAAAGCCAATCTGATAATTCTGACTTCGGATTCGGATTCAGCGTGAAAAAATACATGGAAATAGACTAGTGTAGTGTCTCGGCCAAACAGCTTTTTATTTTTTGTGTGCCTGTGTAATCAAAGATACAGAAAAAAATTAATTAAAAATAATTTTACATTTTATTTAATTTAATTTCTCAACTAATAAAATACAAATATTTATTATTTTTTTTTGTTTTTGTAATTATATTTAAATTAAAACTCACCGAAAACATTTTTTATCGGCTCCTCGGAAGATAGGGCCGACACAATTAAGACTTCTAGAAGTAAGACTACCGTTTCCATGATATGTGATACGATATCCTACAGCGTCGCTGTATAAACTTTGGAAAGTTCATGATAAGTTGGATTGTCTCATCGTATTCTTTTAGCCTGAAACAGATAAAGAAAAGTTTGCTTAGTTTTTTTTTGAATTTACTATTTTTATTACAAAACATTTATTTATTCATTAATCAAAAGAAAAATAAAATAAAAAATTAAATATAAATTTCATCTCAAAATAGTAAATGACACTAAAAAAAAAAATATAAAAAAAAGTAAAATAACCAAAAAAAGTAAACTATAAAAAGAAAGAGAGGGAGATGAATTATGTTTGGGGAAAAATAAAGCTCTTGATTCCAAGAGAGAAGCAAGAAATATCAGGAAGTTTTTTGCACTAACATTTCTTTCATTCAAAAAAAATGACAATTGATGGGAAGAGTTTCCTCTAGAACGAATTAATCTCCAAGTCCCTTTATTTGAAGCTTTCCAAATGATTACGAATCTTTTAGCCAAGGGAGCTTGATCTGAACCTGACGAGAAGAGAAATTGTGATTTCAGATAAACTACATAGTGTCACGTTCTAGTTTCATTTTTTTGTTTTTAATCACTGTTTTCTTTTTTACCCTCTAAATCAAAAAAAAAAATTTTTAATTACTCAAAAACATATTTCTTTCTTTAAATTTCCATTTCAATTTTTTTTTTAAATATATTTTTAAAACTAGAAAATTTTAGAATTTAAAAAAAAAAATTTTTAACTAAAAAATAATTCACTTTTCGAAAAAAATGTTAATTTTCAATTATTTTAAAAAATGGAGAAAAAAGCTCGATTAAAAACATCAATTTAAAATACGTCAAAATAATGTGAAAATAAATAGAAAAAGTCAAATGAAAATATATATGTTAAAAAGGTGGTGAAAAAATAAAATAAAATCGAGGTCAAAAATCAAATTCTCAATAGAAAACGCAAAGGCATTTTCATTGTTTTCGTCAAGTGCCAGGTTAGTAGGGGACCATGCGAAGGGAGAGGTGATTTAATGAGATTTTATATGGAAAGCAACTCAGCCGTGCTTTCAGTTCCATTCGGTTCTGTCATTAAGGTTTCGCCCCTCGTATATATACTGGCAGCTGCTATCGTTTCTAAGTGATGTTCTGAGCATGTATTTACTCGTATGTATATGTGAAAAAAAGAGAGGGTAAACTTTTATTATAATGGTTTCTCTGTAACGAAAAATTACTCTTCGTGCGTCAATAAAAATTTTCAAAGATGGACAAACAAAAAGGCCTCAGTTGGGAAAAATAAATAAATAAAAAAAATTTTTTTTTTAAATAAACAGAAAAAAATTATTTAATATAAATTAACCATTTGACTATTACACTCAGAAAAATGGTATATTTGTCTTAGAGCCTACTAACTCATTTATTTGTTGCAAATATATTTTATTTCATTGAAATAAAAAATTTATTTGATCCAAAGAAAAATTTATTTCTGACAAATAAAATTTTTATTTACGCCAAATAAATAAGTTAGTAGGCTCTGAGACAAATATACGTTTATTTAATTCAAATATATTTTATTTAGTTCAAATAAATCATTTCTCTGGATGTAGTAAATAAATATTTACTCGAATCAAATAATTTTTACCTGAAGCAAATAATTTTAATTAAAAAATTGAAAATTTCTGTATTTTAACAAATACCATCCTAAGTAATAATTATTTAATAGAAATATTTATTTGATAATAGTTAAGTAACAGATTAATTGAATAAATTAAATTTTTTTGTAGCACAAACTCTCTATATTAATACAGAAGCAATATATATATATATATATATATATATATATATATATATATATATATAGTAAAACGATTTTCTCAAATACAGTTAGAAAAGACAATTTCGACTCGCGGGTATATATAAATTTTCAAACACTATTTAAAGATTGTAACTCCCTTTATATAAAGTCAAAATCGAGCGATTGAATAATAATCATTTTATAAGAGCACCGTCTCTACTGCGCGCTTTGTCGAGCTCATTACAATCACTACTGTCATTATTTTAAGAGCTTCAATTTAAATTTCAACTTTCAACTTTCTTCAATAAAAACTATATATAATGGAAAATCGGAAATAATAATAATAGACTAAATTCTTATTCGTGAAAATTCAGAGGAATATATTATTCACAAATACAGAAATATAAAAACAAAAATTACGAAATTCTATTCAAAAAAAAGAAAATTTTTTCATTTAATATAAAAAATGAATAACAGAAAAATTGACTATTTTTTATTTTAAATGGAAAAGTTTTATAAAAATATTTTACAGTAAAAATCGAGTGGAATGATAAAAGAAAATTCAATAATAACATAGTCACAAATAGGTGAGAAAAAAAAAACAAAAAGAAACAGAAAATTTTCCGAGAAATTGTGGTCGGTGGGAGTGAAATTTCATTCTAATAAGACTTGAAGGTGAGCATTTTTCATGAAAGTGACGTCCCTGCGCTTCAAAAGAGTGGAAACCCACTTGAATAGAATGGAATTTCAATTCAATTTGAAGAGGAGATTCCACTGTTTAAAAAGAGAGTATTTGTAAATGTCTTTATTTTATATTGAGAACAAAAATGAAATATAACCGTAAAATTAAAAAAAAAATTATCGTGCATATATTATTAAATTAATTTATTTTATACGATTTGTCTGACTAATATTAGTTTTTACTATACTGATAATGGAAATTAAACGAATTTACAATTTTCTGTCTGACCATATACAGTTTTTACTACTGATAATAAGAGTCAAATGATTTTGTCTGACTAAAATTAGTTTTTACTACTTAAAGTCGAAATTAAATGAATTTAAAATTTTCTGTCTGACCATATACAGTTTTTACTACTAATAATTAATGTCAAATGATTTTGTCTGACTAAAGTTAGTTTTTACTACTTAGAATCGAAATTAAAAATTTTCTGTCTGACCATATACAGTTTTTACTACTGATAATTAAAGTCAAATGATTTTGACTGACTAAAGTCGGTTTTTACTACTTAAAATCGAAATTAAATGAATTTAAAATTTTCCGTCTGACCATATACAGTTTTTACTACTAATAATTAAAGTCAAATGATTTTGTCTGACTAAAGTTAGTTTTTACTACTGAGAATCGAAATTAAAATTTTCTGCCTGACCATATACAGTTTTTACTACTGATAATTAAAGTCAAATGATTTTGACTGACTAAAGTCGGTTTTTACTACTGAGAATCGAAATTAAATGAATTAAAAATTTTCTGTCTAACCATATACAGTTTTTACTACTGATAATTAAAGTCAAATTATTTTGTCTGACTAAAGTCAGTTTTTATTACTGAGAATCGAAATTAAATGAATTTAAAATTTTCCGTCTGACCATATACAGTTTTTACTACTGACAATTAAAGTCAAATTATTTTACAACATTCCGTCTGACTAAAACTAGTTTTTACTACTGATTTCCAAATAATCACGTTTTTATCACACTATGACTGTCTAATATTGACTTCTACTACTGATATCAAGTTTAATTTATATAAAATCAATATTAATTTAAAGTCCGACCATAACTAGATTTTACTACTCATATCCACAATTAAATACAAATTTGCCAGACTAAAATTGATTTTAACTATTGTAAATTAAAAGATCACACGAATTTAAATCTATTTGTCTGACAATATATAGTTTTTACTACTTATTACGAAAATTAAACGATATTAAAAAATATTATGTCTGACTAAAACTAGTTTTTACCACTGATTACGAAAATTAAACGATATTAAAAAATATTATGTCTGACTAAAACTATTTTTTACCACTGATTACGAAAATTAAACGATATTAAAAAATATTATGTCTGACTAAAACTAGTTTTTACCACTAATTACGAAAATTAAACGATATTAAAAAATATTATGTCTGACTGAAACTAGTTTTTACCACTGTTGTTCAAATATAAAATAAATAAATAAAAATTAAATTAATTTAAATACAAATAAATAAATTATAAAAATATTGTCTGACTAAAATTGACTTTTACTATACTGATATTAGAATTAAATTAAAAATGACTTTTTCTATAGTGATATTAAATGAAAAAAAAAACATTCTAAAACTATATATGTGTGTAAGTATGTCGTTTTTTTCTTGAAATTGTGGAAATTACCATAATGAAATTCATATGCCAAACAATACGCGGATCCTAGTCTGAAATGCTATCCGACGAAGTCATAGGAACATTTGCATTAAAATGAAGAAGATTATTTCATTCTAGTGATGAGGGAATAAAATTAAATTACTGTCATTCACTATATATATATATATGTTCATGAAGACAATAAGACTTCGTTAAATACTTCAAATTCATGAAGAGATCAGTATTTTATTTAAAACTGTCTATTTGCATGTTTAAATTGATTACACAAAACTCGGTATTTAGTATATTCTAGTTTTTTTTTGTAAATTGATATTATTAAATAATATATATAAACTAAAAATTTCTCCTCTTACAATTAGTTTCACTCTTTTTACAATATAAAGAAAATATTGAAATAAATTTTAATTAATATTAAATTAATTGATTCTAAAATATAAAAATAAAAATGAAATTTAATAATCCTTCTCCGCAATCCAATTATATATATATATTCCTCTTAATTGAATAAAAAAAGAAAATTTCTTTCAAATTACTATATATAGTAACATTAATTTGCAAATTGAATAGTAATTAAAAGAAGAATAATTGAATTTTCATAAGATGAGATCGGTGCAAAAAACTTGACGAGATGAAAAACTTTCTCTTTAGAAAAGCATAAGTAATTCTTATATTGAGAAGTCATACAATTACAATATAATTAAAACTACTTATGATATTAATTTTTTTTCACATGGCTTTTGAAAAAATTTCTCTGTGCCACTCAATGAGCTTTCATGGGGTTGATATGACACAAAATGAAATTATATAAAAAAAAAAAAAAAAAAAGTGTAAAGATAAAGATAGCGAGAGGAAAAGAGGAGTTTCTCGAAGAAACGAAAAGAGGGAAATAGAGAGAGAGAGAGAGAGAGAAAGCAAGTATCCA